ATTTTGTATAAAGCTTCATATTTGTTAGCAGAAAATTGTAACTCAGTGAAAGTTAAGGATTGCTTATAGTAATAGATTTTTCTTTCAGATTCAGACCTCTGTCTTTACCAAAAATTTATGTGATGTATATCCCATTAAAGGTCACAAGTTAAGCAAAAGTTTCTTATTTATTAGAGTTGAGAGTTTTAAAAATTATGCTATGTCTAAATGAAAATTTAAGTATATTAGAAGATAGCATCATGAATATTATGCATGGCTTTTAATTTCCAGTTTTCTGTGTAAAAATGTGACTTACCTGTTATATTCTGTAGAGTTTTACATAGACACCCATGGTTGGTATGTTCTATGGTGTTTGCTATTCAGATAAGATAGTAACATTAAGCTTACTTCTTCCATTATAATGTAATGTCATTCATCTTTTCTTCTGAATGCTCAGCAACTGAGGTTTGATAACTAAAAATTAGAGAGATCAATGGGCTAGAGATTAGCCAATATTTTGGCCCTAGCCCTCCAAGGTCAATGAGGATCCAAGACTTAAAAGAACCTCTCCTGCAACATCCTACAACTCAGGTAACTCCCTCCTTTTCTGATCAAGGAGATTGTAGGACCACAGAGGAGAGTGATCAATGGTATATAGTATGCCTAAGGAGACTTACTAGGAAAGAAAAATCTCTCAAGCTTTCACAGAAAGCAACTTGGCCAAGCAATGGCCGTGACCATCCAAATGCTGACACTGACAGAAATACTAAAAGACGCTATACACGGTTCCAAGATAAATCCTGAGGAGACACAACTGACCTTGACAGACAGCAAAAATTAATTAATACAGGTCTACCTTAACTTGGTTTTGAACACACAGCAGAAAATTATAACTATAGGGAAAAAAATTGTCTGCAGCAGTCCTCTAAATACAGCTCCTCCAACTTCAACTGACCACCCATCACTTGCAGCTACAAAACAGAAAAGGGAGAGAAGTAGGGATCCACTAAGGCTGGAAATTGATCACATGTGTAGGGGTGAAGCAAGGCCTCTCTGAGAACAAAGAGCTCTTGAAGCAAGCCAAGAAGCTGGTTGTTAGGCAAAAAGCATGTCACGTGACGTGAAACAACCAAATGTATAAATAAACACGGTACAGTGGTTGAACAATTTCTTTTCCTTTCACGAGGAGAGAGGGCTCCACTTGGCCTCAGCTTTCTGCCTCTTATCCTTGTTTCTCCGTGCTCTCACAATCCTTTCTCCAGGAACTTTGAGAGCTGTGCTGAACCCAGCACCCCAACCCCACCCACAACTAGCTACTGTCCTCATCTTCATGTCACCATTGACTCAAGCCAGAAAGGATTTATGTCCCTTCAGGAGTCAGCAAAGCCCAATAAACCAAGTTTCTTCAGCCTTATTTGTGTCAGGTCAGTGCTCTAGGACCATACCCCCCACCCGTCTTAGCATTTACTTCCAAGGTCTCTTAAATTTAGATGGGAACCTCCTATCCAGGGACACTAAGGCTCAGGGCAGAAAGCAATTAAAAGATAAACACTTGAGCCAGTGTTTTTTGTACAGCATTGTGAAGGTTGAACTGTGCACTTAAAAGGATTAAATTAGTAAATCCGGGGTTATGAATGTTGTGGAAACTGTGGAACCAAATCATAGTCACTTTTGTTAATACTTAACCAAATAAATAAATTAATAAGAAAAGTTGGTTAGTTATAAGGAATTTCATGGATATATAATCAAGGTACATAGTCACTGGAGAGTCTGCTAAGGCCACCATGTGCACAAAACCCAGGCCAAGTTTACACAGCAAATACTTCTGCAAGGACATCTGACTAATGACTGTCAGCTCAAGTGAAGAGTGGCACCATTCTGGTCACTGATTCATGAATCCCCGGGATTGTAGTCCTTTGGCCAAGAATTACTGTTTCAAAATATCTTATGTAATCCTCCCCATTTGTCCGTAACACCTTACCCTTGCCTTGATACCTTATGCTTGCCTTGACAGTCTCTGAGTACACTCATGATTTACAATGACACACAATCTCCATTGCTATCTTGTTACTCCCCATTACACTTAATAGAAATGCTTCCTCTGTGCATTGTTTTAGCACCATAAAGAATAAAACTGTTGTCCCAGGCTAGCGCCTTCCTCAGCTTCTCCCTGTAGACTCTATTGCCATCCTTTAAAGTCTGAACTAGAGGATGATATGCAAGACCCAAAAGGACCTCAGAAAAGGATGCCAGTGGTCACCAACTGGATGTGTGGTTGGTGCTGGAAGGAGAGACAGAAGTGATTGTGGCCTTCAGATCTGGGTCCTGTCAGTACATCTGTGTCTTCTCAGGAGCTGAAACAACTTCATGGAGGACAAGTTTGATTTGGCTTGTGTTAACTTGGAAAATACATTTTCTTCTGGAAACCAGCAGAAGTAATTAACATAAATTATCTCACTTAAAATCAATGAGAAATTCACTCAGCTTTCAGAAGTCCTACAATTATGTTTTCTCTAGGCTCCTAATACTTTACTGATTGCCCATTGTCACAACAATCCACCTCTTCCTTCTCCCTGTCCCATAATAAGCTCAGAGAGGGAGGTGGACAGTCAGAATATTTGAACTCTGCAGTCATATCATCTTTGCAGATTTACAGTATATAGTATATATTACCCACAGCATGACACCCCTAGAATGCAGGGCACTCACATTGTGGCCAGTGCTTACATACTACTTAACCACCCTCCACACCAGTTACTATTACACAGACTCATTAGGAGTACTGCCTAGTACTCTGGGCCCTCTACTCCCTTCTTTGGATTTCTAGTTCAACTTTTTCTCAACATTCAAGAGTTTTGTACTGAAAGCATGTAAGAAATACACATGAACTCACCTCCCAGAGATGATTTTCTTGATCTCTGATCCAGTGTCTCAGCAGTCTCCAGTAAGTGCCCTGGGTTCCAGTTTCTGGTCCCACCTTCTGGTGTTTCACGAGGAAGCTGCAGGCAGCATCTACAGGCAAATTCTCATTTCTCCAAATATGGGCCCATGTCCTTCTAGAAGCGGTTGCCACAGTCCTAACCATCATCTTACACTTTCCTGTGCTCATTCATTTGAACCATTTACTTCTTCTACTTTTGCCCTGAATGTACCTCCAAATGGTCCAGGTCACACTATCACCTCTGCTGGTTCACATTATTATTGTTTCTTGGGCCTCGGCTGGTCCAGATGGCTCCTCCAACACTGACCAAGGTCCTTTTTTCAGGCCACTCAGACCACACATGCAATTAGTTGGCATCCAATGTTTTGGAATAAATGAGTAATAAGTACCCTTTTACTAGACGGGCTCAGATTCAAGCCAGGTGGCCTGTCTTAGTTGGCGTACACTTCACTTGGTTCGCATTAGCCCTTCTTGGCCAGTGGTCTTGCAATGAACACCTTATACACTGTATCTGGCTGCTTTTCTCTTACCCTTACCCTTTACTGCATGGGGCCCTGCTGCCATTCCTACCTCCTCAATTCCATTCTCCACACTCAGCCAGAGCAACACAAACATGCACAATCACACACAAGGACGGAAGTACCCCAAACGCCCGCCATGTTGATTCCTAGCTAAAAAGATAGCTGTACTCTTCCTTGCTCCTGAAATAGGTCTGCTAATGTGGGTGCTGGCCAGGCTTAGCCAGGTGCCTTCTGCCCTCGCCTACTCTTTCTCCCATCCCCTCCATCAGTAGCCTTTCCTCCTGCCTCAGGGTCACCAGACTTCTTTTTTACTCAGCCTGAAGAGCTTCCTTCACTGCCCACTAAGCCCACTGTTGCACAAAAATACCAGCTTGTGCTGTCCTCCTGCTTCAGAAAACCCTGAGGGAGGAAACCCAACACCTTCACGGGTCTGTAAGGCTGGTAGGCCATGTGGGCAGAGGTGAGCTTGTTTTTAGAAGAGAGTTGCTCCTTCTCTAAAGGAGATTTCCGTGGAGAGGGATTTGCCCTTCCCTTTTGCTGTTCCTGTCTTAGTGAGGCACGTGCTCAGGAAAAATGTAAGAAGTGCAATGGTGCCAGGTCTGAGCCACCCCCACAGCCCACAGCAGCTGCCCACCACCTGGTGCCTGCTGGTTGGACACCAGCACTGCTGGAGGTCAAAAATAACACCTGAAATGCAGTAGGTGTCTCCATACAATTCCTAAGAGACTGATAGCAGGGACAAAGAAGGAGAGAGAGCAGTGAATGAGAGAAACTACATAGCATCTGTTTTTCATGGGCCAGGTGAGGCTTTGGCAGGGAGCAGTGCAGCTGCAAAGGAGCTTGTTGCCGAGCTAGGGAATGTGGATCCTTGTCCATACTAACAGAGCACAGGGTGACTGCTGCAGATCTGTCACCTGCCAGGTATGTGCTTGGTACCAGCATGGACATGAAAAAGAGCCAAGTGTGCAGGGTGAGCCATGCTGCAGCCTGGTGGGACTAGGAAGAGGTGGGCAGGTCTCCTCCAAGGATGAAGACTCCTGCATCATCTTAGAACCTACTTCCCCTTATAGGTCACAAACTTTCCCAAAGGATCTCAAAGGTGAATGGAGCTGTCACAGATCAGGTCCTTGAACCCAGGGTTGATGATTATCAAATGTCCAAGAGTGAGCCAAGGAGGTGGTACCACATCTGCTCCCCAAAAGTAGGATGGGCTAGAGACAGTGCAACCAGTCAGAAGATGAGGGTTGAGGCCACCCTGGACACTCGGCTCTGTGGTAGCAGGTGAGAGAACCTAGGTCTGTTTGGTGCTGTGGTCCTGAGATTTAAGATTGGATCCTTTTCAGTGGTTGGCCCTTTTGCCATCTCAGCAGCCTAAATCTGCCAAGGGGAAGGAGGCTTTGCTAAAACTTCTGCTCAGGACCACAGGATTTCTGTAATGGGTGGACTCTGATGAGGGACCAAGGGCTGGGGACATGAGATCTGGTGGCCACATTGTCAGCCCGGTGTTCCACGGTGCTCACAGAGCACATAAAGGAATAATGAATATGGAGAGAAAGGGATTTGATTTACCAATATTTCATATAAGATTATATAGATATTCCACTGATATAGATATAGACAGAAAATATAGATATAGATATGATTTTTTTTGTTCAAGACAGTCTCACTATATAGTTCAAGTTGGCCTCAAACTTGTGATGATCCTGCTTCAGGCTCCCAATTCAGCCTGGAATTACAGGTGTCTGATGCCATGCCCAGCTATGTTATATAACATTCTCAAAGGAACCCTAGAAGACAGGTGTTATTTTACCTTGCTCTACAGACGAAGACATAGGCTCAGAGAGGGTAAGTGCCATGACCAGTTCACACAGGTGAAGGATCTCAATCAACTTTCTGACTCCAAACTTTCTCTCAGTGATGTTTTCCTGTTTCCCCTGGATGACAGCTGAAAGCAGTCTCTGTGCCCCTCAGGGAGCTCGGAAATGTGTGGACACTTCTTCTTCTTTCTTTTCCAGGGCTGCAGGCAAGGTACACAGGCAGATCTAGCCATTTATCCTGGTCTTTGGGATTTTAGGCACAGAAATCTTAACATGGCTTCTTATCAGATTCGCAAGTATCAAGAGAGTGACAGAAAAACCGTCCTGGACTTGTTTTCCAGTGGCTCGTTGGAGCATATCCCTGCCACCTTCCGCTACACGCTGATTCTGCCCCAAACCCTTCTGTTCATTTTTGCGGTGCTCCTCTCTGTATTCCTGGCCTCTGGTTCCTGGCTCCTGGTCATTGTATCCAGCCTCATTCTGCTCGTTTTCCTGTGGTTCCTGGCCGGATACACCTGGAAGAAGTATGTGAATGAATGTTTGTCCACAGACCTGGCTGACATCACCAAATCCTACCTGAGTGAATGTGGCTCCTGTTTCTGGGTGGCTGAGTCTGGGGGTAAGGTGGTGGGCATTGTATGTGCTCTGTTGGCGGAGAAGCAGCCACTGGGCAAGAAGCGGCTGCGGCTGCGGCATCTGTCTGTGTCCTGGGAGCGTCGCAGAGAGGGGATAGGGAAAGCCCTGGTCAGGACTGTCCTCCAGTTTGCTCGGGAACAGGGCTGCAGTGAAATTGTCCTTAGCACTAGTATGCTGCAGTATGATGCTCTGGGCCTCTACCAGAGCATGGGCTTCCAGAAGACAGGCCATTCCTTCTATACCAGGTTCTCAAGGCTGAGGGGTACCCCTTTATTTCATCTCACATACCAGTTCCCTTCTGCTCGGGATGGAGGCCTGTAACTGTTTGTCTTGTGTATCAGTCAGTATCTAATCAGCTCTGCTATAGTAACAAGCAAACCCTGACATCTCAGTGATATAAACAATAAAAATATATTGTTCACACATACCTGAGCCTACTGTGTTTAATAGTGGGATGGGTATACAGTGGGAGGCTCTGCTCCATTCTGCCTTTCTGAGGTGGTTTCATGTGTCTAACAACAAGGCACTATTGTATAAAAAACACACAAACAATAACAAACTTTTATTTAACTTATGACTGTACCAGAAATTTCTTTTTTTCACATCCAAAGTTGTATTTACTTGACTAAAATATAAAGTAGTATTACCATAAACAGAGAAGACTATGGTTAGTGAAATCTAAAGACTATACACATTTAAAAAGCTGTCATACTGTAAACATCACAAAACACAAACACAAAGTCTCAATGTTTAATTAACAAACTAAGAACTCCTCTAGGAAATTTTCTCTTTTTTTCTGTTACCTAATTTTATTTTGGATTTAATTCACATTTTGGGTTTCTCATAGAAGAAAAACTATGCAATGTTATGCTTGAGTGTCAGATTTTTGTTTTCTTAATATTATGCTCTCAAATTGCATCCACTTTCCTACAAATGGCTCAAATTTATCCGCTTTATGACAGAGTAGTACTCCACCATGTATAAATACTACATTTTTGCAAGGTATGGTAACCCAGGCCTGTAATCCCAGCACTTGGGAGGTTGAGGCAGAAGGATTGCTGTGAGTTTGAGACCAACAGGGCTACATAATGAGTTCAAACCTACACTACATGGTAAGGCCCTGTCTCAAAATGTACACCTACATACATATATACACGCATACATACATACCTAAGTACCACATTTCCTTTATCCATTTATCTTTGGACAGACATATAAGTCAGTCCCAAGATTTAGCTATTATGAATTGTTCTACTATAAACACAGGTATGTATATATCATTGTAATGTGGTACCTTTAACTATTTCAGGAAGATACCTAGTTAGACAATAAATGGGTCAAATAGATTTTCTATTTTTAGTTTTTTAAGGAATCTTCTTACTGATTTCCATAGTGATTGTACTAACTTACATTCTTACCAACAATGTAGAAAGGTTCCTTTTCCCCTGAAACCTTTCAGTTTTTGTTATTATTTGATTTCTTGGTGATGGTCATTTTTTCTGGAATGAAAGAGAAAGTCAGTGTGGCTTTAATTTGCATTTATGTAATGGCTGGTGATGCTGAACATTTTTTTTAAAGAGGAAAATAACAAGGAAATTAAAACAATGAAATCAATCTAACTAAACCAGCATAATTGATACAGGACTTTCAAACCTTTTGAATCAACACTAGTTACCACAATGCCTTTGTCGGCTTCAAAATAGCTCTAGATATCACCTTCGGACATATAGGATAGAATAGAAACAATAAAAACAAAACGAATGCAATAAAGAATCTCAAAACAAACCAGTAGTAAATACACAATGGCTTCCATAACATGTTTTGCTATCTTTTTTTTTTTAAATTTTTATTTAAGGAGAAAAGAAAAGAAAGAAAAAAAAACAGTGAAGGGGTACAAGTTATACAGATTTACAGAATAAAAAAATGCACAGTAGGAAATCACTAGTTAATGGATTACATATTGCCATCTTAGAAATAATTGTTCAAGTCACAAAATTAAAGCTTGTAGAGTGGACATTCCAACAATGATACTGCAGACAGTTCTGTTCAATGATCCAATAAAACTCTGTGATATCATTTTCTATCTTATACATTTAAATATACATGCAGTTATATAGTTTAGAGCACTTTCTTTTCCTCTCTTTTGTACAGTGACTATTACACATTTTGGGTTTCATTGCTCCCACGGTTCTTGTTGCTTTTTTGGAAGAGAGTAAAACCAAATGTGACATAACAGAACAGAATCGGTCAAGTCAAAAGGGTGGACATAATAGATAATATAAAAACATAATACAAGGTGATCAACAATGGTTACCATAATGCCTCCCGCTATTTCTAATAGAATTGCCTATATCATTAGTTGTAATACAATTGAACAAAACCGTAAAGAATAAAACCGACAAAACCAAAACATTGGAGATATTGTAGGTCTTCAAAAGTAGATAAAAGTCAACGAGAATGGGCGTTATAATGAATCTCATTATCTTCTCAGCTGATGCCTAAACTTTCGAACCTGATACTATCCAGCAAAACAGAATAGAGGAACCTCAGTCAAAAACAAGATGGTGAGAGTAACACAGGGCTTCAATTCGAGATAATAGAAAGTCAAAGTGGGTTACTATATTATATCCTGCTATATTTTTCCCTTTAATTAAATGGATAAAAATAAAAAAGTAAATAATGGAGTGGAGATTGAGAGAAAAGAGGGCATAACAGCGAAACAGGGCAGATCAAAACATAACCATTTAAGCAGAATAGTGTTTCACCACCAGATAATCCTGACCCAAAAATAGTTACCATATTGACTCCCTCCCTGAAGTCCTTGAGTACAACTTCATATACTGTAGCATTAAGTATATCAAAACAATGTAAATCCATTTAAGAGAATGACAGCATTATAGAGTATTTAGAATCGACTAACAGAAAATGAACAATGGTCTCTGTATAATCTCCTTGTCTTTAAAAGGTTTTTTCTTATACTATCGTACTTAACAAAATCCAATAAGATACAACCTGTTTAGACCATTGGAGACAGAAGAACAAAAGCTAGATGAGACTTCAAAACAAGATGGTACTAAATCAGCATTACCTATTAAGATGTCATTTTCTCCAAAAAAAGCTGTTCCTATCATCCAATCTTCTCTGTCTCATTTCTGTTGAGCTCTTTTTCTGTCAGTAGCTGTCAGTTTGTCTTCTTCATTTTGTTCTCTGCTCCATTCGTTGTGGCCTCCCCGCCCCTATTTCTGGGTTCTTTGTATTTTTCTTTTTTTAGAATATCCTGCAATACTTTCTGTAGGGTTGAATTGGTGGTTGCAAATTCCCCCAGTTCCTCTTTATCCTGGAAGCACCTCGTTTTTCCATCAATTTCCAGGGACAGTTGTGCAGGATATCTCAATCTTGGCTGGAGATTATTATCTTTCAAAGCTTGAATTATTTCTCCCCATGCTCTTCGTGATTTGATGGTTTGTGAAGAGAAATCTGCTGTAATTCTGATGGGTCTTCCCTTGTAAGTGATCTGTTTCTTGTCTCTTACAGCTTTTAATATTCTGTTCTTGTATTGAATTTCTGGAATTTTTATTATTATATGCCTGGGTGTTTCTCTGTTAGGGTTGTAGGTAGCTGGGGTCCTGTATGCCTCATACATTTGAGTATCTTTACCTTTTGCTAAATTAGGAAAATTCTCCTGGATTATTTCTGTGAGTAGCTTTTGTAGTTCACTTGTTTGTGTCCCTACTTCTTCTTTTATGTTCTTAATCCTTAAGTTATGGCTCCTCTTATCATCTTCTTGTCTTTGTATTATTGCTGTGTGTTTCTTTGTTATTTTTAAGAAGTTTTTCATTTCATTCTCCCATGTTTCAAGTCTGCCCTCCAATTCAGATAGTCTGTCCTTAGTTTCTTTCAAGCTGTTATGCCAGTCTTGGGTATACTTCTTGATTTCTTGATAGTCCCTTTGCACCTGCTTCACATACTCAATGCTTTCTCTGTTTTCTCCATCAAGCAATTCTCCCCTCTTTTTCTGTTCTTCCACTCCACCATCTGCTTTTTCCTGGGTGGTGCTTAGCATTTCTCTAACTATTCTGCATACTTCTAGCTTCAGGTCATTGATAACTTCATTCCTGAATTGGTCTATGAGGCTCTCTAAATGGCGCTTAATGTATATTGGTGCAGTGTCCACTGCCTGATTCTCAGGATTGGGGGTCGAGGAGCCTTTTTTGTTGCTTCCCTTCCCCATATTTTCTGTTCCTTATAAAATGTAATCTTACACAGGAGGCCCGGCTTCCCTGCCTGTCAGCCACAGCTTGATCAAATTGCGCTGGCTAGTTGTTCCCGCTCACCGCTGCGCCCCAGGGAGTTGCGGAGGAGGCAGCCTATGCGGGAGTCGGTCACTCCTCCGGGCCACCGTCAGGCTCTGGGATCTGGGTTAGGCCAGCCTAGGGAGTCCGCCAGCAACGTCCCTCCGGTCAGGCACCTTTCACCAATCCCGTCCGAGAGGGAAACATGCGGCTGCAGTTGCCACCGCGCCCTGCTCTTACAGGACTGCCCGCGCCCAGAAAAACCTCCGCTGGAGTCAACCTGCGGTAGGGAGTCAGTTCCTCGCTCACCTCGCCACCAGTCAGCCTTCCTCCCTGTCCGTCGCGTTTCCGACTCCGTTCGCAGACTCCCGTTTCCAAGCCTCTGCGTGTCTCTCCTTGCCGAGCCGCTATGGAGGCAGCCGGCCGCCGGGCGGCGGGAAATCCAAACCGCGGTTTCCAATGGCGCGGAGTCGAGCCTCCACACCGAGATTTTTCTGTTCCTATTTTAGCGCCAGGACTGTATTCCAAGTTGGATTCTCTCAGCCCAGTTCGTTCCTGAGTCAACAGAGCATATCTCTACTGGTTCGTATCTCCTTAGTCCGCATCATTCCTGGCCTCTGAGCCGAGCCTTTAGAGAGCGTTCAGTAGTTGCTGTTGTCTGTCCGCCATGTTCTCCCCGTCCTTGTCTTGCTATCTTTCAAATAGCTGCTTATGCCATCAGAGTTAGCATAATAAAATAAAAGAGAATAAACCTCAACCCAATAGAAAAAGCAATGACAATGATATGTTTCCAGGAGGGGGAATCTCCTCCCTGTGGGTCATGTTTCTCTTCTTCCGCAGTCCACAAACAATGCTGACTCACAGAGGTAGGCTTGGATCTGGCTCCTGCTGAACATTTTTTTTTCACATACTTATTAGCCAGTTGTGCTGTTTCCTTTGGGAAATGTCCATTCATCTCAGTGGCTTAGTTTTGATTTGGTCTTTTGTTTGGGGTGTTGGTTCTTTATATGTTCTAGATATTAATCCTCTGTCTGATGAATAATTGGCAAATTTTTTCACATTGTATAGGTTGTCGCTTCACACTATTATTTCTTTTACTGTGTATAAGCATTTAAATTTGATATGATCACATTTACTAATTCTTCATATTATTTCTTGGGCAATTAGGGGTCTACTCAGAAAGACTATGCTTACACCTATGTCTTCAAGAGTTTCACCTATTTTATCTTCTAAGAGGTTAAGTGTTTCTGTTTTAATATGTAGGTCTTTAATCTACTTCAATTTTAATTTAGTATATGATGAGAGATACAGGTCTAGGTTCAATCTTTGGCATGTGAATAGCCAGTTTTCTTAGCACCACTTGTTAAAGACACTACTTTTCCCCCAGTTTAAGTTTTCAGCCCCCTGGTTAGATATCAGCTAGCCAAATGTGGCTGGAGTTGTTTCTTGCATCCTCTATTCTGTTCTACTGATCCACCTGTCTGGCTTTCCCCACCCCCAATACTATGCTGTTTTTATCACTGTAGCTTTGCAGCGTAACTTGAAGTATAGAATTGTAATGTTCTTGCCTTGTTCTTTGCTATTCTAGGTCTTTTCTGGTTTCATATGACCTTTATCAATGTTTTGCTAGTTCTATGAGGAATGTCATTATTATTGTGATTGGAGTGCATTAAACATGTATAAATTTTGGAAGTATGGCTATTTTGACTATATTGATTCTAACTGTCCAGAAACAATGGGTATCCTTTCATTTTCTGATGTCCTCTTTGATGTCTTTGTAAGGTTTTGCTATAGTTTTCATCGTAGAGGTCTTTCACATCCTTAGTTAGGTTAATACCAAAGTATTTTTCTTGATGCTGTTGTGAAAAATATTGTTGTTCTAATTTCTCTCTCAGTGAGTTTATTACCAGTATACAGAAATGCTATTGATTTTTGTGTATTGACTTTGTATCCCACTATACTTCCAAAGTTGCTAGAATTTTTTTTGAGTTTTCTTTGTAGAAGATCATGTCGTCTGCAAATAATGATAATTCAACTTCTCCATGTCCTGTATGCATATCCCTTTTATTACCCTTGCCTGCTTGATCTGGCCAATGTTTTGCACACTGCATTTTACAGGAGTGGTGATAGAAGATGTCCTTGTCTTTTTTCTAATTTTGAGGGAAAGCTTTTGGCTTCTTTTTATTTAGTATGATTTTGGCTATTGGCTTTTCATAAATGGCTTACATCACATTGAGATAAGCTTCTCCTATAACTTTCTTCATGGTTTTTATCATGAATGGATGTTTTGATTTTGTCAAAGGCTTTTACTGCACCAATCAAGATCATCATGTGGTTTTTGTGCTTGTTTCTTTTTATTTGATATGCTGCATTGATTTGTATATCTTGAACCATTTGTACATCCCTTACATGAATTGTACTTGGTCATTATGTATGATCTTTTTGATGTTTTGTTGCATCATTTGCCAATAGCTTGTTGAGGACTTTTGCATCTATGTTCATTGATGAGATTGGTCTGTAACTTTCTTTTTATGTTGGGTCCTTGTCTGGCTTAGAAATGAGGGTAATGCTATCTTCCAGTAACGTCTTTGAGAGTACTACTTCCCTATTGATATCACTAAAGAGTTTGAGAAGCACTGGTGTTAGATCTTCTCTAAAATTCTTGCAGAATTAGACAGTGAATCAGTTGAAACCAGGGCTTTTCTTAGTTGGCAGGTGTCTTAATTTTCTTATTGCTGATGTGAAATACTCAACACCCAAACTTAAAGGAGAAAAGGTTTGGCCCACCATTTGTAGATGTTTCAGTACAAGCTTGCTGGCTCCAAGCTGGGGTGGCATGGCAGATGGACATCATAGAGGAGAAGCAGTCCATGGCAGGCAGAAGACAGCAAGCAATAAGCAACAAGTAAGGACTCTTGTTCTGTCCCTTATATCTTATCCAAACTCCCCAACCTTAGAGTCAGTTGCACTCACACCCAGGATGAGGCACCCTTAATCCTACCCAGAACTACACCAAACCAATCAGTGGTCTGATTTAGTAATCACACACTCTCGGTCCCAGCAACACACACTCGAGATTGAGCCACCTTCCAAAACCACCCCAGGGACTACCTAAGTATTTAGGAGGATATCTAGACCTAAACCATAACAGTTGGTTTTCATCATTTCCTCAGTTTTACTGCCTGATATTGGATTAGTCAGAATTTTCAGTCTTGGTACAGCTTTGGTAGCTCATATTTATCTAGGAATCTATCCATTTCTTTTGAATTCTCCATTTTATAAGAATACAGGTTCTCAAAGTTGTTAGTAATGATCTTCTGGGTTTGCGAAGAGGCTGTTGTGATTTTACCTTTTTCATTTCTACTTGAATTTATTTGGGTCTCTTCTTTTCCTCTTTTTTTGGTAAGATCAGCTAAGGATTTATTTATTTTATTCTTTCAGAGAACCAGCTCTCTGATTCATTGATCTTGTGTAATTTTTGTCTCAATTTTATTAATTTCTGCACTGATCTTTATAGTACCCTTTCTTGTATTAGCTTTGGGTTTGGATTTCTCTTGATTTTCTAAGACCTTGAAGTGCATTAATAGATTCTTTATTTGGATTCACTCTGTCATTCTGATGTGGGCATTCACAGCCATAAAAATTCCTCTTCATTTCATTATGTTCAATAGTCTCTCTTACATTTTTTTTTCTTCTTTTTTTGTTTGTTTGTTTGTTTTGGCACAGGAATTAAACTAGGACCTTGTCCTTACCAGGGAGACACTTGTGCCAATGAGCTATCTCCCCAGTCCCAGCATCTCTAATGTTATATTGCCATTATTGTTTGGTTCTATGAACTGTTAGGTGTCTTCCTTGATTTATTCATCAACACATTGATTATTTAAGAGAGCTTTGATTAGTTTCCATGTATTTGTATCATTTTTGTGATTTCTTTTGCCATGAATTTCTAGTTTCATGGTGTAGTGATCTGATACATGGGATAATTTTGATTCTGTACTTACTTATGCATCGTATGTAGTCTGCCTTAGAGAAAGTTCCATGTGCTGCTAAGAATGTGTATTCCATTTTTGCTGGGCTGAAAACCTATTTTTTATTTGTTTGAAAGTGAATTCAACTCTCATATTTCTTTGTTGACTTTCTGTCTAGTTGACTTATTTGTGACAGTGGGGCACGGAGTTCTCTCAATAAAATTGTGTTGATGTTTATCTTATCTTTTATGTCCAGTGGTGTTTGTTTTATGAAGTTGGGTACACTGGTGTTCAATGCTTATATGTTTTTTAATATAATAAAATACAACAAAACAAGACAGAACAAAGCCAATCAGGACAATGCAGTGAAATTGGTACAGAACTTCAGAGCAGGATACCAGGATAACAATACGTACCATAGTATATCTTGTTATCTTCACAATAGTTGTCCATTCAATCAGGTATAGAAAAATCAAACCAAAAACAGAACACTATAAAACCAATCAAAACAGAATAATGAATAGAGCAAAGCAATTAATCAGAACAAAGCAAAACAATGAAAACAATATTGGCCTTCAAAGACAAGATAGAAAAAAATCCTCCACATTTGCTATATTGCATACTGTCATCCTAAGCATAATGTAAGCATAATAAGAGATGCTGACACTTCTGGCCCCAGGTTAGCATAATCAACCAAACAATACAAGCATTTAGTTGCTTTGTGTACCTTAGTTGTTATCAATCATGGCTGATCTCCAAACCATCCAGCTGCTAACTGGGATGGGGCATATTTGATTCTTAGCCTGCACGCAGGTAGGCCCATGAGAGATAATGATTTGTTCTCTCCAGGTGCACCCATGGCTCTCTCCACTTACCAGGAAGAATGGTTCATTGCTTTCTTGATTGGTCCCCCAAGTTCCAGCATGGCTGATTCTCTGGAAACACCAGTGCTGATATGTTTATAATTGTTATCTCATCCTGTTAAAATATTTCCTTAACTAATATGTAGTGAGTGAGCTTCTTTGCCTCTTCTGATCACTTTTGGCTTGAAGTCCACTTTGTCTGAAAATACAATAGCTATTTCTGCTTGTTTTGAGAGTTCCTCTTGGAGCGTTCAGTTTGCTTCTGCACAGCCAGACTCCTTTCCCCATCAGCCATAAGTTAGGATCTGGTCAGAGAGTCCAGATTGTTTCGTTTCCTTCTTTTGTGTGGTAGGGTCCATTTCTCTAACTTCTCTATAACATTTAATTTTCCTGTCAGTTCCTTTCGTCTTCCCAGAAAACTACTTCTCCTTTTTACTTCCCAAACTTGTTACTTCCCAGTGTCTGGAGTCTGGATCTTGGGGAGGCTGACTTTTGCTGCCATTCACCTCTCCACTATCTTCATTCCCTTGCATGAGCAATTTCTGCTGGGACTGGATGGACAGTTGTCTGGGTTTCAGGATACCTGTACAAATGTCCTGAGGTACTAGGGCCAGTGGGTTTCACCCTGCTCCAGAAGCTCAGGCAGGATGCAAGGTCATTGTAGATCAGCCAAAATAGAAGTCAAAAGAAACAAAGGTTTTTCAAAGTTACAACAGGTGTCACATATGCTAACTTCCCAGCCTCAATGAAAACATAGAGCCACCTGTACACAGACACGCTATAGAATCACAGAGCAAAGAGACAGAATGTGGCCCTGTGTGGAGAAACTGAGACAGTTCTAGTTCTTTCTTTTTGGGGGGTGAGGATTGACTCGGTCTCGATGTAGTTCAGACTGGTGCTTAACTCACTGTGTAGCACAGGCTGGCCTTGAACCTGCAACAATCCTACTGCTTCAGCCTTGTAAGTGCTGGGATTATAGGCATGCGCCACTATACCTGGCTATCACTTCTATTTCTTAAGCAATTTGTATGTGACTTTTCTACATTTGCAATATAAAAGCCCTAACCATCATGTTCAGCCTCTAACTAAGGGGATTCTGGATTTAGATGTCTCTGCCATGTTCTGTGTCCTGAGTTCTTCCGGGTGTCATCCTTGGAGGAGCAGCCATGCTTCCCGTGTCTGCTGCCCTTTACGCCAAGCACAGAACCTGGCACATGGCAAGGACTCAGCTATTGTCTGCCAAATAAAGTAACCAGTGTGGACAGAGAAAACCTAGTTGCTGTTAAAAGGCCTCAGAAATGCAGATGATACAGTTAAGCCTAGGAAGGAAGAAGAGCCTCAGTGTAAACTGAGGTTTTGGTGATGCCATGGAAACCACAGGGCATGGGGACTCACGTCCAGGATTTGATGTTAAATATTGAATTCTTATCTTGTGTCAAAGATACCAAATCTCATCAGACTCTACCAAGAGCCCTGGGTTCCAGCTGCAGCCTCACCTGCTGTCTCAGGAAGACCCTGAAGGCAGTGCCTACAGGTGAGTCCTAAACTTCTGGATCTGCCTTCCTCCGTGGTCCTCCTAGACATTCTCGCCACAACTCTGCTGTCATGTCTGGCTCATTTCTACTGCTCATTCCCATTTGAATTATCCTAACTCCTGCCATTTCTGCCCCTAAATACACCCACAGTGGCCCAGGTCTCAAGGCCTTGATTGGCTAAGTCCAAGTCATCACTTTGATTCTTGGGCCTTTACTGATACTGTGGCTCCTTTGTGAACACTGGCCAAGGCTCTCCATGCAGTACAGATCATAGATGCCTGGTACTGGAGAAACAGGGCCTTTGAGAACATTAGAAATAAGTTCTTTCCCTTGGCTAGGCTTAGCCCTAGGTAGGGCTAAAGGCTGATGCCTTAGAAAGTGCAGTAGGGGGAATTAATTCACATTTGCCCTTGGTGGCCAGAGCCCTTGTGAGCAAGCTACACAGCTGGACCTGGTGGCCCTTCTGTAGCTCAGATGCTGCACTTGCCTCTTAGTAAATCTGATACCACTCCTGCCTCCTCTGATCTGTTCTCCACCTACAAATCAAGAGATGATACAACACACACGTTTTAAGCTAAAAGTTCATTATGTAGCCTGCTTTGCTCTTTGCAAAGAGTTCACGCTACCCAATCTACATGCTGCTCCTATAACATGCACCTCTGCTACCTCTCCTGACCCCTTCCATCTGACTGGTCAGTCATATTTCCCCAAAAGCTGTGCCCTTTTTGCGTCTTTGCATAGTCCTGCTCTTGTTCCCACAGCCAGAGAAGCTACCCTCCCTCCCTGATGAGGCCCATCTTTCCTTGGGTTGCCCCAACTGTTCTGAGGAAACCTGGTTATCCTCTCCCTGCAGACCACACATCTGCATGAATGAAATCATACAAACACTGGCTTCTGCTATCCTCCTGCTTCAAGAAGCTATGCAAGAAAAAAGCCAACATCCTCATTGTTGTTGGGCACATGGGTACAGGCAAGTGCCTTTTTTAAGGGATATGTCTCTTCCATAGAAGAGAATTCCATGCAGAAGATTGCTCTTTTGTTTTGCTTTGCTTGTCTTAGTGAAGTATACGTTCAGATAAAATGTGTAAGAAATATGATGGCACTGACTCTGGGCCATCACCAGAGCCTGCGGCACCAGTCCACTCTGTCAACACTTCCAGAGGCTGCAAAGGACACCTACAGAACAGCAAGTGCATCCATATGGTTGCTGAACAGCTGAGCAGAATAGAGTGATTTGTGAGGGACCAGTTAAGCTTCAGGTGGGAGAAGCACAATGAGGAAACTTGCTGCTGAGCCGTGAGATGCGGACTCTGATCCATGACTAGAGATGCTCACTGTTAGTGATAACAGTATGTCTGGGATGGGGACTGGGGTGGGCTTCAAAGAGGGCTGAGCATGCTGCACAGACTGAGACAGGAGGATCACAAGTTCTAGGCCAGCCAGGCAACTTAGTGAGACCCTGCTACAAAACAAAAAAAAACAAGTAAAAAGGGCTGGGAATGTGGCTTAGTGTTACAGTGCTTGCCTGGCATTTTCAGGTCCCTGGATCCAAACCCAAGTATGCAGATGGGAACAGTGTGCAAGGTGAGAGATGCTGTGGCTTGAAGAGAACAGGAGCGATGTTAGGCCTCTCGTGAGGGTGACGCAGATAAACAAGTGTATACTCTCATTTTGCCTTGCAGATTAATTCTGCGAGGATTACAAAGCCAAATGGAATTGGGCTGTCTGTTTTGAGGCACTGACTATGGGGTTTATACTTATCAAATATTTACAAGACAGCCAATGTAATGGCACCCATCTCTTTCCAGAGCAGGCCCTAGAGTGTCTCTCCTGGATGCCATCAGAGGCTGTGGGTCAAAGTTTCCCTGAATGCTCTCAGCAGTGTGGTAGAGTGGGTCAAAGAATCTGGGTACAATTTGAGGCTCTCAGTGATGGTCTGGAGTCCTGAACCTTCCTGGGCATCTCAAGCTCACGCCATTTTTTTTTTTTTTTTTATCGGTACCGGGGATTGAACCCAGGACTGCCTGCTTCCAAGGCAGGTGCTTATGCCACTGAGCTAAATCCCTAGCCCCACTCATGCCATTTATAATTCTGACCGTTTTGTCATCTTATCAGCCTAGAACTGGGGAAAGGAGGTTTTGCTGATCATCTTTTGGTGAACACAGGATTTGTGCAATGGATGGATCCTGGAAAGAAACCAAAGGATTGGAGCATAGAGGTCTGGCTGTCACCAAGACCATCTCAGTGTCCTGAGAATCTCAGAGGACCTGTAATAGAGTAATGAGAGTGATGCAGGATTGTATGTGCCACTGTTTCATGTAAGATACTCTATTAAATCCTCAAGCAACCCTAGAGTGCATAGGTATATATTTACCGTTCTGCAGATGAGGATATATGCTGAGAATGGTTAGACATGGTCCAGATAATACAGCTAGAAAAAGGCTTCTGACCCTAAACCTTCTCCTAGTTAAAGTCTCCTCCTTTAGTATGGCAGCAGAAATACATACCCTTCAGCAGGGTCTCCATGGTGCTGGAGAGGCTGGGAGCTGTGCAAGAGGACAAGTATGGCTTCTTTCTTTTCTCCAGACTACAGGGAAATTGTGCAGGCAGGTCTAGCTGTCTTCTTTTTTTTTTTTTAATTTTTTTATTTAAGAGGAAAAAGAGAAAAACACAAAACAAAACAAAGCAGTGTAAGGTTACACATAATACAGAACTACAAAAAAAAACATAACAGTAAGAAATCACCTTCTTGCTAGATACCCTGGAAGATGTTTGTGTTCACAAGTTTTCACAAACCCTACATGACTGCATGGGACCCCTGATTCTGGGTGGCTTAGTTTGGCAATCATGTAGGGGGCACTGTGTGTGCTCTGCCAGTGGAGAACTTCCTATTGGGGAAGAAGCAGTTGTGGCAATGTCATCGCTCTGATTAAAGAAGACAAGGAGCAAACATAGTGCCTAATAAAGGGAAGAGATTGGGCAGCTGGACTGGGGGTGATTTGCACTCATAATGGGATAGTGTGAGTGGGACTGGCTGAGAAGGACACCTGGCACAAGGGCTGTGATAAGAAGCCCCACTGAGAGAGCAGCTTGGGAGTCCTCCCGGGGAGTCATCACAGGCAGATGGGACTGGCTCAGGACATTGGCCTAAAGATCCTGGGTCATGTGGTCCAGGGCAAAGATGAGCCTCAGTCTGAACATCTGGGGACCGCTGGCCTGCTCTCCACAGTGGATCACACTTGTGTGCACTAAAAGACCTTGACCCAACTCACAGCCACAGCAAGAGCTGTCTAGCTCAGGGTGACTGAAGGAGGACAACTAGCCCCAAGCAGGGACTCCCCACCTGCTCTCTGCGTGGACAGTGGGGCAAGAAGAAGCCGAGATGCTGTGTGACATGAGCAGAGGACTGGGGGTGGGGCTGGATGGATAGGGGACCTACTTGGGCAAGGAAGTCAGGAGTGGATGACAAGTCAGGAGTGGACCCAAGTATGGGTCAGCTAGGCAAGCCCAGGGGCAGCTCTTGTCCAGGAGCCCACAGATGGCTTCAAGTGTAGGACTCCCGAAGTTCAGAACTTAGGAAAACCAGGCCCTTTGTGCTTGTAGAGGCATAAGTGGGTTCTGGGGACTCTGCCAATGTGGACAGAGGAATGGCAAATTTGGGGGACTCTCCATCAGTGTGGCACACATAGGTGGTCAGGGCCATCCTGCCCCTGCTCACTAGGGCTCCCTCTTGTGGCGTACCACAGCAACACCCCAAGTCTGATATTGGTCCTCTACCCAGCAGGTGCCATGTCTTGCTCAGGAACCGTGAGTGACGAGAAGAGCCTATAAATGTGAGGAAGAATCAGAAACATGACCCCCAACATGTCAGTTTCAAATATTTGAGGTAGGGTCTGTGTGCCCCAGCCAAAGGCCATAGCTTCCTGAGAGTCCCAACATCCCATCACATTCTATCCCCACCTGGTACCCAAGGAGGGCTCCATCTTCGAACTCTCATTTGCTGAAGGTGACACTTAGTCCCACACTCATCCATAATGCAACATCGCCCTCTGGTGGTAACATCTAGAAGCCTCTTCTCTTGTAACCCTAGTAGCCAGGATGCCATTCCCAGAAGCACATCTGTATAGGGTAGTCTTCTAAGATCACTTGAGGTGCAGAAGGATGTAGGATAACTGGCTGTCGTGGAGAGTTAGGAAAGTAAGGTCTGTATATATCTCAAAGGTCAAAGAGGACATTTACTGTGACAAGCTGAATTTCTCTTTCCAGGTGTTACGGGGTACCAGGAAGCCTCTGAGAGCTTCTGCCATGGCTAAATTAGATTCCAGAAAGGAGCAGAATCCATGAACATTAGTTCTAATCTTCTTCCCTGCTGGGAAAGCCCTAGATATAGTTCTATGGATCTCTCACCAACCCACAAAACCTCTTTTCAGGAGTAGGGGAGGAAGAAAACACATTTCATCACTGAAGTATTAAACCCAAGGGTGACACTCACCATAGGCAGCCACTAGGAGGTTGCAAAGACAGAAGAAATGGCACTGTATAGCACAGCCAGTGGGTATTCCTATCCACCCTCTCTTGACCACGATCTGTCCTCAGATGGAGGAGTCGCCAGACCCACGGGTCTCACAGTGTTCCTCTGTGTTTGCAGATTGGCCTTAGGCAAGAGGAAAATGACCCCTTAGCTCCATAATGGGAGACAGTTTGGCATTTGGAATCCAAGTTAGTCTCTTCTGTCCTCCAGCCACTGGAAGGCAGGGCACAACCTCCCTGGATGATTCCATCTCAATGAAGCTCCTAAGTCCTTGAGAAGAGAGTCTTGAGTGTAAAACTGGTAAGAGACTTATTAGTTATTGAGGTCTGCATATATCTCAAAAGGGCAGAAAGGGCCTGTATAGTGATAGGCTTTCTAAATAAGGGAGAAAGTACGTCTTCCATTTTAAAAATTTTTAACAGGGAGAGCTCAGCATTGTGGTTGTCATTTTCCTATACCCTTGATCTGCTTCTGGAACACTGCCTGGTACTCCTGGGTCAGGCCAGTAGGGTTCCGGTCCAAGCATAACAACTGTGGACGGAAATATTTTCCTCCTTGTCTTGTCTCGTCTTCTCTTCTCTTCTTCCTTCCTTGATTTCTTCCTTCTCTTCTTCCTCCACCTTTCCTCTTTCTCCTTCTCTTTCTTTTCCTCTCCCTCTTCCTCCTTCTCAGACATATCCTCCTTCTTTTCCTCCTCCTCTTTTTTTACCCTGTTGGGGATCAAACTCAGGGCTTTCCACATGCCATATAAATGCTCTACCACTGAGCAAAATGCCTAACTCTACACTGAAAATCTGATATCAATGAGCTTATTTAGTATTTTGTATAAAGCTTCATATTTGTTAGCAGAAAATTGTAACTCAGTGAAAGTTAAGGATTGCTTATAGTAATAGATTTTTCTTTCAGATTCAGACCTCTGTCTTTACCAAAAATTTATGTGATGTATATCCCATTAAAGGTCACAAGTTAGGCAAAAGTTTCTTATTTATTAGAGATGAGAGATTTAAAAATTATGTTATGTCTAAATGAAAATTTAAGTATATTAGAAGATATCATCATGAATATTATGCATGGCTTTTAATTTCCAGTATTCTGTGTAAAAATGTGACTTACCTGTTATATTCTGTAGAGTTTTACATAGTCACCCATGGTTGGTATGTTCTATGGTGTTTGCTATTCAGATAAGATAGTAACATTAAGCTTACTTCTTCCATTATAATGTAATGTGATTCATCTTCTCTTGTGAATGCTCAGCAACTGAGGTTTGATAACTAAAAATAAGAGAGATCAATGGGCTAGAGATTAGCCAATATTTTGGCCCTAGCCCTCCAAGGTCAATGAGGATCCAAGACTTAAAAGAACCCCTCCTGCAACATCCTACAACTCAGGTAACTCCCTCCTTTTCTGATCAAGGAGATTATAGGATCACAGAGGAGAGTGATCAATGGTATGTAGTGTGCCTAAGGAGACTTACTAGGAAAGAAAAATCTCTCAAGCTTTCACAGAAAGCAACTTGGCCAAGCAATGCCCGTGACCATCCAAATGCTGACACTGACAGAAATACTAAAAGACGCTATACACGGTTCCAAGATAAATCCTGAGGAGACGTAACTGACCTTGACAGACAGCAAAAATTAATTAATATAGGTCTACCTTAACTTGGTTTTGAACACCCAGTAGAAAATTATAACTATAGGGAAAAAAATTGTCTGCAGCAGTCCTCTAAATACAGCTCCTCCAACTTCAACTGACCACCCATCACTTGCAGCTACAAAACAGAAAAGGGAGAGAAGTAGGGATCCACTAAGGCTGGAAATTGATCACATGTGTAGGGTTGAAGCAAGGCCTGTCTGAGAACAAAGAGCTCTTGAAGCAAGCCAAGCAGCTGGTTGTTAGGCAAAAAGCATGTCACGTGACGTGAAACAACCAAATGTATAAATAAACACGGTACAGTGGTTGAACAATTTCTTTTCCTTTCACGAGGAGAGAGGGCTCCACTTGGCCTCAGCTTTCTGCCTCTTATCCTTGTTTCTCCGTGCTCTCACAATCCTTTCTCCAGGAACTTTGAGAGCTGTGCTGAACCCAGCACCCCAACCCCACCCACAACTAGCTACTGTCCTCATCTTCATGTCACCATTGACTCAAGCCAGAAAGGATTTATGTCCCTTCAGGAGTCAGCAAAGCCCAATAAACCAAGTTTCTTCAGCCTTATTTGTGTCAGGTCAATGCTCTAGGACCATACCCCCCACCCGTCTTAGCATTTACTTCCAAGGTCTCTTAAATTTAGATGGGAACCTCCTATCCAGGGACACTAAGGCTCAGGGCAGAAAGCAATTAAAAGATAAACACTTGAGCCAGTGTTTTTTGTACAGCATTGTGAATGTTGAACTGTGCACTTAAAAGGATTGAATTAGTAAATCGGGGTTATGAATGTTGTGGAAACTGTGGAACCAAATCATAGTCACTTTTGTTAATACTTAACCAAATAAATAAATTAATAAGAAAAGTTGGTTAGTTATAAGGAATTTCATGGATATATAATCAAGGTACGTAGTCACTGGAGAGTCTGCTAAGGCCACCCTGTGCACAAAACCCAGGCCAAGTTTACACAGCAAATACTTCTGCAAGGACATCTGACTAATGACTGTCAGCTCAAGTGAAGAGTGGCACCATTCTGGTCATTGATTCATGAATCCCGGGATTGTAGTCCTTTGGCCAAGAATTACTGTTTCAAAATATCTTATGTAATCCTCCATTTGTCCGTAACACCTTACCCTTGCCTTGATACCTTATCCTTGCCTTGACAGTCTGACTACACACATGATTTACAATGACACACAATCTCCATTGCTATCTTGTTACTCCCCATTACACTTAATTAATAGAAATGCTTCCTCTGTGCATTGTTTTAGCACCATAAAGAATAAAACTGTTGTCCCAGGCTAGCGCCTTCCTCAGCTTCTCCCTGTAGACTCTATTGCCATCCTTTAAAGTCTGAACTAGAGGATGATATGCAAGACCCAAAAGGACCTCAGAAAAGGATGCCATTGGTCACCAACTGGATGTGTGGTTGGTGCTGAAAGGAGGGACAGAAGTGATTGTGGCCTTCAGATCTGGGTCCTGTCAGTACATCTGTGTCCTCTCAGGAGCTAAAACACCTTTATGGAGGACAAGTTTGATTTGGCTTGTGTTAACTTGGAAAATACATTTTCTTCTGGAAACCAGCAGAAGTAATTAACATAAATTATCTCATTTAAAATCAATGAGAAATTCACTCAGCTTTCAGAAGTCCTACAATTATGTTTTCTCTAGGCTCCTAATCCTTTACTGATTGCCCATTGTCACAACAATCCACCTCTTCCTTCTCCCCGTCCCATAATAAGCTCAGAGAGGGAGGTGGACAGTCAGAATATTTGAACTCTGCAGTCATATCATCTTTGCAGATTCACAGTATACAGTATATATTACCCACAGCATGACACCCCTAGACTGCAGGGCACTCACATTGTGGCCAGTGCTTACATACTACTTAACCACCCTCCACACCAGTTACTATTACACAGACTCATTAGGAGTACTGCTTACTACTCTGGGCCCTCTACTCCCTTCTTTGGATTTCTAGTTCAACTTTTTCTCAACATTCAAGTGTTTTGTACTGAAAGCATGTAAGAAATACACATGAACTCACCTCCCAGAGATGATTTTCTTGATCTCTGATCCAGTGTCTCAGCAGTCTCCAGTAAGTGCCCTGGGTTCCAGTTTCTGGTCCCACCTTCTGGTGTTTCACGAGGAAGCTGCAGGCAGCATCTACAGGCAAATTCTCATTTCTCCAAATATGGGCCCATGTCCTTCTAGAAGCGGTTGCCACAGTCCTAACCATCATCTTACACTTTCCTGTGCTCATTCATTTGAACCATTTACTTCTTCTACTTTTGCCCTGAATGTACCTCCAAATGGTCCAGGTCACACTATCACCTCTGCTGGTTCACATTATTATTGTTTCTTGGGCCTCGGCTGGTCCAGATGGCTCCTCCAACACTGACCAAGGTCCTTTTTTCAGGCCACTCAGACCACACATGCAATTAGTTGGCATCCAATGTTTTGGAATAAATGAGTAATAAGTACCCTTTTACTAGACGGGCTCAGATTCAAGCCAGGTGGCCTGTCTTAGTTGGCGTACACTTCACTTGGTTCGCATTAGCCCTTCTTGGCCAGTGGTCTTGCAATGAACACCTTATACACTGTATCTGGCTGCTTTTCTCTTACCCTTACCCTTTACTGCATGGGGCCCTGCTGCCATTCCTACCTCCTCAATTCCATTCTCCACACTCAGCCAGAGCAACACAAACATGCACAATCACACACAAGGACGGAAGTACCCCAAACGCCCGCCATGTTGATTCCTAGCTAAAAAGATAGCTGTACTCTTCCTTGCTCCTGAAATAGGTCTGCTAATGTGGGTGCTGGCCAGGCTTAGCCAGGTGCCTTCTGCCCTCGCCTACTCTTTCTCCCATCCCCTCCATCAGTAGCCTTTCCTCCTGCCTCAGGGTCACCAGACTTCTTTTTTACTCAGCCTGAAGAGCTTCCTTCACTGCCCACTAAGCCCACTGTTGCACAAAAATACCAGCTTGTGCTGTCCTCCTGCTTCAGAAAACCCTGAGGGAGGAAACCCAACACCTTCACGGGTCTGTAAGGCTGGTAGGCCATGTGGGCAGAGGTGAGCTTGTTTTTAGAAGAGAGTTGCTCCTTCTCTAAAGGAGATTTCCGTGGAGAGGGATTTGCCCTTCCCTTTTGCTGTTCCTGTCTTAGTGAGGCACGTGCTCAGGAAAAATGTAAGAAGTGCAATGGTGCCAGGTCTGAGCCACCCCCACAGCCCACAGCAGCTGCCCACCACCTGGTGCCTGCTGGTTGGACACCAGCACTGCTGGAGGTCAAAAATAACACCTGAAATGCAGTAGGTGTCTCCATACAATTCCTAAGAGACTGATAGCAGGGACAAAGAAGGAGAGAGAGCAGTGAATGAGAGAAACTACATAGCATCTGTTTTTCATGGGCCAGGTGAGGCTTTGGCAGGGAGCAGTGCAGCTGCAAAGGAGCTTGTTGCCGAGCTAGGGAATGTGGATCCTTGTCCATACTAACAGAGCACAGGGTGACTGCTGCAGATCTGTCACCTGCCAGGTATGTGCTTGGTACCAGCATGGACATGAGAAAGAGCCAAGTGTGCAGGGTGAGCCATGCTGCAGCCTGGTGGGAATAGGAAGAGGTGGGCAGGTCTCCTCCAAGGATGAAGACTCCTGCATCATCTTAGAACCTACTTCCCCTTATAGGTCACAAACTTTCCCAAAGGATCTCAAAGGTGAATGGAGCTGTCACAGATCAGGTCCTTGAACCCAGGGTTGATGATTATCAAATGTCCAAGAGTGAGCCAAGGAGGTGGTACCACATCTGCTCCCCAAAAGTAGGATGGGCTAGAGACAGTGCAACCAGTCAGAAGATGAGGGTTGAAGCCACCCTGGACACTCGGCTCTGTGGTAGCAGGTGAGAGAACCTAGGTCTGTTTGGTGCTGTGGTCCTGAGATTTAAGATTGGATCCTTTTCAGTGGTTGGCCCTTTTGCCATCTCAGCAGCCTAAATCTGCCAAGGGGAAGGAGGCTTTGCTAAAACTTCTGCTCAGGCCCACAGGATTTCTGTAATGGGTGGACTCTGATGAGGGACCAAGGGCTGGGGACATGAGATCTGGTGGCCACATTGTCAGCCCGGTGTTCCACGGTGCTCACAGAGCACATAAAGGAATAATGAATATGGAGAGAAAGGGATTTCATTTACCAATATTTCATATAAGATTATATAGATAGACCACTGATATATAGACAGAAAATATACATATAGATATGATTTTTTTTGTTCAAGACAGTCTCACTATATAGTTCAAGTTGGCCTCAAACTTGTGATGCTCCTGCTTCAGGCTCCCAATTCAGCCTGGAATTACAGGTGTCTGATGCCATGCCCAGCTATGTTATATAACATTCTCAAAGGAACCCTAGAAGACAGGTGTTATTTTACCTTGCTCTACAGACGAAGACATAGGCTCAGAGAGGGTAAGTGCCATGACCAGTTCACACAGGTGAAGGATCTCAATCAACTTTCTGACTCCAAACTTTTTCTTAGTGATGTTTTCCTGTTTCCCCTGGATGACAGCTGAAAGCAGTCTCTGTGCCCCTCAGGGAGCTCGGAAATGTGTGGACACTTCTTCTTCTTTCTTTTCCAGGGCTGCAGGCAAGGTATACAGGCAGATCTAGCCATTTATCCTGGTCTTTGGGATTTTAGGCACAGAAATCTCAACATGGCTTCTTATGAGATTCGCAAGTATCAAGAGAATGACAGAAAAACCGTCCTGGACTTGTTTTCCAGTGGCTTGTTGGAGCATATCCCTGCCACCTTCCGCTACACGCTGATTCTGCCCCAAACCCTTCTGTTCATTTTTGGGGTGCTCCTCTCTGTATTCCTGGCCTCTGGTTCCTGGCTCCTGGTCATTGTATCCAGCCTCATTCTGCTCGTTTTCCTGTGGTTCCTGGCCGGATACACCTGGAAGAAGCGTGTGAATGAATGTTTGTCCACAGACCTGGCTGACATCACCAAATCCTACCTGAGTGAATGTGGCTCCTGTTTCTGGGTGGCTGAGTCTGGGGGTAAGGTGGTGGGCATTGTATGTGCTCTGTTGGCGGAGAAGCACCCACTGGGCAAGAAGCGGCTGCGGCTGCGGCATCTGTCTGTGTCCTGGGAGCGTCGCAGAGAGGGGATAGGGAAAGCCCTGGTCAGGACTGTCCTCCAGTTTGCTCGGGAACAGGGCTGCAGTGAAGTTGTCCTTAGCACTAGTATGCTGCAGTATGATGCTCTGGGCCTCTACCAGAGCATGGGCTTCCAGAAGACAGGCCATTCCTTCTATACCAGGTTCTCAAGGCTGAGGGGTACCCCTTTATTTCATCTCACATACCAGTTCCCTTCTGCTCGGGATGGAGGCCTGTAACTGTTTGTCTTGTGTATCAGTCAGTATCTAATCAGCTCTGCTATAGTAACAAGCAAACCCTGACATCTCAGTGATATAAACAATAAAAATATATTGTTCACACATACCTGAGCCTACTGTGTTTAATATTGGGATGGGTATACAGTGGGAGGCTCTGCTCCATTCTGCCTTTCTGAGGTGGTTTCATGTGTCTAACAACATGGCACTATTGTATAAAAAACATACAAACAATAACAAACTTTTATTTAACTTATGACTGTACCAGAAATTTCTTTTTTTCACATCCAAAGTTGTATTTACTTGACTAAAATATAAAGTAGTATTACCATGAACAGAGAAAACTATGGTTAGTGAAATCTAAAGATTGTACATATTTTAAAAGCTGTCATACTGTAAACATCACAAAACACAAACACAAAGTCTCAATGTTTAATTAACAAACTAAGAACTCCTCTAGGAAATTTTCTCTTTTTTTCTGTTACCTAATTTTATTTTGGATTTAATTCACATTTTGGGTTTCTCATAGAAGAAAAACTATGCAATGTTATGCTTGAGTGTCAGATTTTTGTTTTCTTAATATTATGCTCTCAAATTGCATCCACTTTCCTACAAATGGCTCAAATTTATCCTCTTTATGACAGAGTAGTACTGCACCATGTATAAATACTACATTTTTGCAAGGTATGGTAACCCAGGCCTGTAATCCCAGCACTTGGGAGGTTGAGGCAGAAGGATTGCTGTGAGTTTGAGACCAACAGGGCTATATAATGAGTTCAAACCTACACTACATGGTGAGGCTCTGTCTCAAAATGCACACCTACATACATATATACACGCATACATACATACATAAGTACCACATTTCCTTTATCCATTTATCTTTGGATGGACATATAAGTCAGTCCAAAGATTTAGCTATTATGAATTGTTCTACTATAAACACAGGTGTGTATGTATCATTGTAATGTGGTACCTTTAACTCTTTCAGGAAGATACCTAGTTAGACAATAACCAACCTAGTGAGTCAAATAGATTTTCTATTTTTAGTTTTTCAAGGAATCTTCTTACTGATTTCCATAGTGATTGTACTAACTTACATTCTTACCAACAATGTAGAAAGGTTCCTTTTCCCCTGAAACCTTTCAGTTTTTGTTATTATTTGATTTCTTGGTGATGGTCATTTTTTCTGGAATGAAAGAGAAAGTCAGTGTGGCTTTAATTTGCATTTATGTAATGGCTGGTGATGCTGAACATTTTTTTTTAAAGAGGAAAAAAAACAAGGAAAATAAAACAATGAAATCAATCTAACTAAACCAGCATAATTGATACAGGACTTTCAAACCTTTTGAATCAACACTAGTTACCACAATGCCTTTGTTGGCTTCAAAACAGGTCTAGATATCACCTTCGGACATATAGGATAGAATAGAAACAATAAAAAGAAAACAAATGCAATAAAGAATCTCAAAACAAGCCAGTAGTAAATACACAATGACTTCCATAACATGTCTTGCTATCTTTCAAATAGCTGCTTATGCCATCAGAGTTAGCATAATAAAATAAAAGAGAATAAACCTCAACCCAATAGAAAAAGCAATGACAATGATATGTTTCCAGGAGGGGGAATCTCCTCCCTGTGGGTCATGTTTGTCTCCTTCCGCAGTCCACAAACAATGCTGACTCACAGAGGTAGGCTTGGATCTGGCTCCTGCTGAACATTTTTTTTTCACATACTTATTAGCCAGTTGTGCTGTTTCCTTTGGGAAATGTCCATTCATCTCAGTGGCTTAGTTTTGATTTGGTCTTTTGTTTGGAGTATTGGTTCTTTATATGTTCTAGATATTAATCCTCTGTCTGATGAATAATTGGTAAATTTTTTCACATTGTATAGGTTGTCTCTTCACACTATTATTTCTTTTACTGTGTATAAGCATTTAAATTTGATATGATCACATTTACTAATTCTTCATATTATTTCTTGGGCAGTTAGGGGTCTACTCAGAAAGACTATGCTTACACCTATGTCTTCAAGAGTTTCACCTATTTTATCTTCTAAGAGGTTAAGTGTTTCTGTTTTAATATGTAGGTCTTTAATCTACTTCAATTTTAATTTAGTATATGATGAGAGATACAGGTCTAGGTTCAATCTTTGGCATGTGAATAGCCAGTTTTCTTAGCACCACTTGTTAAAGACCTTACTTTTCCCCCAGTTTTAAGTTTTCAGCCCCCTGGTTAGATATCAGCTAGCCAAATGTGGCTGGAGTTGTTTCTTGCATCCTCTATTCTGTTCTACTGATCCACCTGTCTGGCTTTCCCCACCCCCAATACTATGCTGTTTTTATCACTGTAGCTTTGCAGCGTAACTTGAAGTATAGAATTGTAATGTTCTTGCCTTGTTCTTTGCTATTCTAGGTCTTTTCTGGTTTCATATGACCTTTATCAATGTTTTGCTAGTTCTATGAGGAATGTCATTATTATTGTGATTGGAGTGCATTAAACATGTATAAATTTTGGAAGTATGGCTATTTTGACTATATTGATTCTAACTGTCCAGAAACAATGGGTATCCTTTCATTTTCTGATGTCCTCTTTGATGTCTTTGTAAGGTTTTGCTATAGTTTTCATCGTAGAGGTCTTTCACATCCTTAGTTAGGTTAATACCAAAGTATTTTTCTTGATGCTGTTGTGAAAAATATTGTTGTTCTAATTTCTCTCTCAGTGAGTTTATTACCAGTATACAGAAATGCTATTGATTTTTGTGTATTGACTTTGTATCCCACTATACTTCCAAAGTTGCTAGAATTTTTTTTGAGTTTTCTTTGTAGAAGATCATGTCGTCTGCAAATAATGATAATTCAACTTCTCCATGTCCTGTATGCATATCCCTTTTATTACCCTTGCCTGCTTGATCTGGCCAATGTTTTGCACACTGCATTTTACAGGAGTGGTGATAGAAGATGTCCTTGTCTTTTTTCTAATTTTGAGGGAAAGCTTTTGGCTTCTTTTTATTTAGTATGATTTTGGCTATTGGCTTTTCATAAATGGCTTACATCACATTGAGATAAGCTTCTCCTATAACTTTCTTCATGGTTTTTATCATGAATGGATGTTTTGATTTTGTCAAAGGCTTTTACTGCACCAATCAAGATCATCATGTGGTTTTTGTGCTTGTTTCTTTTTATTTGATATGCTGCATTGATTTGTATATCTTGAACCATTTGTACATCCCTTACATGAATTGTACTTGGTCATTATGTATGATCTTTTTGATGTTTTGTTGCATCATTTGCCAATAGCTTGTTGAGGACTTTTGCATCTATGTTCATTGATGAGATTGGTCTGTAACTTTCTTTTTATGTTGGGTCCTTGTCTGGCTTAGAAATGAGGGTAATGCTATCTTCCAGTAACGTCTTTGAGAGTACTACTTCCCTATTGATATCACTAAAGAGTTTGAGAAGCACTGGTGTTAGATCTTCTCTAAAATTCTTGCAGAATTAGACAGTGAATCAGTTGAAACCAGGGCTTTTCTTAGTTGGCAGGTGTCTTAATTTTCTTATTGCTGATGTGAAATACTCAACACCCAAACTTAAAGGAGAAAAGGTTTGGCCCACCATTTGTAGATGTTTCAGTACAAGCTTGCTGGCTCCAAGCTGGGGTGGCATGGCAGATGGACATCATAGAGGAGAAGCAGTCCATGGCAGGCAGAAGACAGCAAGCAATAAGCAACAAGTAAGGACTCTTGTTCTGTCCCTTATATCTTATCCAAACTCCCCAACCTTAGAGTCAGTTGCACTCACACCCAGGATGAGGCACCCTTAATCCTACCCAGAACTACACCAAACCAATCAGTGGTCTGATTTAGTAATCACACACTCTCGGTCCCAGCAACACACACTCGAGATTGAGCCACCTTCCAAAACCACCCCAGGGACTACCTAAGTATTTAGGAGGATATCTAGACCTAAACCATAACAGTTGGTTTTCATCATTTCCTCAGTTTTACTGCCTGATATTGGATTAGTCAGAATTTTCAGTCTTGGTACAGCTTTGGTAGCTCATATTTATCTAGGAATCTATCCATTTCTTTTGAATTCTCCATTTTATAAGAATACAGGTTCTCAAAGTTGTTAGTAATGATCTTCTGGGTTTGCGAAGAGGCTGTTGTGATTTTACCTTTTTCATTTCTACTTGAATTTATTTGGGTCTCTTCTTTTCCTCTTTTTTTGGTAAGATCAGCTAAGGATTTATTTATTTTATTCTTTCAGAGAACCAGCTCTCTGATTCATTGATCTTGTGTAATTTTTGTCTCAATTTTATTAATTTCTGCACTGATCTTTATAGTACCCTTTCTTGTATTAGCTTTGGGTTTGGATTTCTCTTGATTTTCTAAGACCTTGAAGTGCATTAATAGATTCTTTATTTGGATTCACTCTGTCATTCTGATGTGGGCATTCACAGCCATAAAAATTCCTCTTCATTTCATTATGTTCAATAGTCTCTCTTACATTTTTTTTTCTTCTTTTTTTGTTTGTTTGTTTGTTTTGGCACAGGAATTAAACTAGGACCTTGTCCTTACCAGGGAGACACTTGTGCCAATGAGCTATCTCCCCAGTCCCAGCATCTCTAATGTTATATTGCCATTATTGTTTGGTTCTATGAACTGTTAGGTGTCTTCCTTGATTTATTCATCAACACATTGATTATTTAAGAGAGCTTTGATTAGTTTCCATGTATTTGTATCATTTTTGTGATTTCTTTTGCCATGAATTTCTAGTTTCATGGTGTAGTGATCTGATACATGGGATAATTTTGATTCTGTACTTACTTATGCATCGTATGTAGTCTGCCTTAGAGAAAGTTCCATGTGCTGCTAAGAATGTGTATTCCATTTTTGCTGGGCTGAAAACCTATTTTTTATTTGTTTGAAAGTGAATTCAACTCTCATATTTCTTTGTTGACTTTCTGTCTAGTTGACTTATTTGTGACAGTGGGGCACGGAGTTCTCTCAATAAAATTGTGTTGATGTTTATCTTATCTTTTATGTCCAGTGGTGTTTGTTTTATGAAGTTGGGTACACTGGTGTTCAATGCTTATATGTTTTTTAATATAATAAAATACAACAAAACAAGACAGAACAAAGCCAATCAGGACAATGCAGTGAAATTGGTACAGAACTTCAGAGCAGGATACCAGGATAACAATACGTACCATAGTATATCTTGTTATCTTCACAATAGTTGTCCATTCAATCAGGTATAGAAAAATCAAACCAAAAACAGAACACTATAAAACCAATCAAAACAGAATAATGAATAGAGCAAAGCAATTAATCAGAACAAAGCAAAACAATGAAAACAATATTGGCCTTCAAAGACAAGATAGAAAAAAATCCTCCACATTTGCTATATTGCATACTGTCATCCTAAGCATAATGTAAGCATAATAAGAGATGCTGACACTTCTGGCCCCAGGTTAGCATAATCAACCAAACAATACAAGCATTTAGTTGCTTTGTGTACCTTAGTTGTTATCAATCATGGCTGATCTCCAAACCATCCAGCTGCTAACTGGGATGGGGCATATTTGATTCTTAGCCTGCACGCAGGTAGGCCCATGAGAGATAATGATTTGTTCTCTCCAGGTGCACCCATGGCTCTCTCCACTTACCAGGAAGAATGGTTCATTGCTTTCTTGATTGGTCCCCCAAGTTCCAGCATGGCTGATTCTCTGGAAACACCAGTGCTGATATGTTTATAATTGTTATCTCATCCTGTTAAAATATTTCCTTAACTAATATGTAGTGAGTGAGCTTCTTTGCCTCTTCTGATCACTTTTGGCTTGAAGTCCACTTTGTCTGAAAATACAATAGCTATTTCTGCTTGTTTTGAGAGTTCCTCTTGGAGCGTTCAGTTTGCTTCTGCACAGCCAGACTCCTTTCCCCATCAGCCATAAGTTAGGATCTGGTCAGAGAGTCCAGATTGTTTCGTTTCCTTCTTTTGTGTGGTAGGGTCCATTTCTCTAACTTCTCTATAACATTTAATTTTCCTGTCAGTTCCTTTCGTCTTCCCAGAAAACTACTTCTCCTTTTTACTTCCCAAACTTGTTACTTCCCAGTGTCTGGAGTCTGGATCTTGGGGAGGCTGACTTTTGCTGCCATTCACCTCTCCACTATCTTCATTCCCTTGCATGAGCAATTTCTGCTGGGACTGGATGGACAGTTGTCTGGGTTTCAGGATACCTGTACAAATGTCCTGAGGTACTAGGGCCAGTGGGTTTCACCCTGCTCCAGAAGCTCAGGCAGGATGCAAGGTCATTGTAGATCAGCCAAAATAGAAGTCAAAAGAAACAAAGGTTTTTCAAAGTTACAACAGGTGTCACATATGCTAACTTCCCAGCCTCAATGAAAACATAGAGCCACCTGTACACAGACACGCTATAGAATCACAGAGCAAAGAGACAGAATGTGGCCCTGTGTGGAGAAACTGAGACAGTTCTAGTTCTTTCTTTTTGGGGGGTGAGGATTGACTCGGTCTCGATGTAGTTCAGACTGGTGCTTAACTCACTGTGTAGCACAGGCTGGCCTTGAACCTGCAACAATCCTACTGCTTCAGCCTTGTAAGTGCTGGGATTATAGGCATGCGCCACTATACCTGGCTATCACTTCTATTTCTTAAGCAATTTGTATGTGACTTTTCTACATTTGCAATATAAAAGCCCTAACCATCATGTTCAGCCTCTAACTAAGGGGATTCTGGATTTAGATGTCTCTGCCATGTTCTGTGTCCTGAGTTCTTCCGGGTGTCATCCTTGGAGGAGCAGCCATGCTTCCCGTGTCTGCTGCCCTTTACGCCAAGCACAGAACCTGGCACATGGCAAGGACTCAGCTATTGTCTGCCAAATAAAGTAACCAGTGTGGACAGAGAAAACCTAGTTGCTGTTAAAAGGCCTCAGAAATGCAGATGATACAGTTAAGCCTAGGAAGGAAGAAGAGCCTCAGTGTAAACTGAGGTTTTGGTGATGCCATGGAAACCACAGGGCATGGGGACTCACGTCCAGGATTTGATGTTAAATATTGAATTCTTATCTTGTGTCAAAGATACCAAATCTCATCAGACTCTACCAAGAGCCCTGGGTTCCAGCTGCAGCCTCACCTGCTGTCTCAGGAAGACCCTGAAGGCAGTGCCTACAGGTGAGTCCTAAACTTCTGGATCTGCCTTCCTCCGTGGTCCTCCTAGACATTCTCGCCACAACTCTGCTGTCATGTCTGGCTCATTTCTACTGCTCATTCCCATTTGAATTATCCTAACTCCTGCCATTTCTGCCCCTAAATACACCCACAGTGGCCCAGGTCTCAAGGCCTTGATTGGCTAAGTCCAAGTCATCACTTTGATTCTTGGGCCTTTACTGATACTGTGGCTCCTTTGTGAACACTGGCCAAGGCTCTCCATGCAGTACAGATCATAGATGCCTGGTACTGGAGAAACAGGGCCTTTGAGAACATTAGAAATAAGTTCTTTCCCTTGGCTAGGCTTAGCCCTAGGTAGGGCTAAAGGCTGATGCCTTAGAAAGTGCAGTAGGGGGAATTAATTCACATTTGCCCTTGGTGGCCAGAGCCCTTGTGAGCAAGCTACACAGCTGGACCTGGTGGCCCTTCTGTAGCTCAGATGCTGCACTTGCCTCTTAGTAAATCTGATACCACTCCTGCCTCCTCTGATCTGTTCTCCACCTACAAATCAAGAGATGATACAACACACACGTTTTAAGCTAAAAGTTCATTATGTAGCCTGCTTTGCTCTTTGCAAAGAGTTCACGCTACCCAATCTACATGCTGCTCCTATAACATGCACCTCTGCTACCTCTCCTGACCCCTTCCATCTGACTGGTCAGTCATATTTCCCCAAAAGCTGTGCCCTTTTTGCGTCTTTGCATAGTCCTGCTCTTGTTCCCACAGCCAGAGAAGCTACCCTCCCTCCCTGATGAGGCCCATCTTTCCTTGGGTTGCCCCAACTGTTCTGAGGAAACCTGGTTATCCTCTCCCTGCAGACCACACATCTGCATGAATGAAATCATACAAACACTGGCTTCTGCTATCCTCCTGCTTCAAGAAGCTATGCAAGAAAAAAGCCAACATCCTCATTGTTGTTGGGCACATGGGTACAGGCAAGTGCCTTTTTTAAGGGATATGTCTCTTCCATAGAAGAGAATTCCATGCAGAAGATTGCTCTTTTGTTTTGCTTTGCTTGTCTTAGTGAAGTATACGTTCAGATAAAATGTGTAAGAAATATGATGGCACTGACTCTGGGCCATCACCAGAGCCTGCGGCACCAGTCCACTCTGTCAACACTTCCAGAGGCTGCAAAGGACACCTACAGAACAGCAAGTGCATCCATATGGTTGCTGAACAGCTGAGCAGAATAGAGTGATTTGTGAGGGACCAGTTAAGCTTCAGGTGGGAGAAGCACAATGAGGAAACTTGCTGCTGAGCCGTGAGATGCGGACTCTGATCCATGACTAGAGATGCTCACTGTTAGTGATAACAGTATGTCTGGGATGGGGACTGGGGTGGGCTTCAAAGAGGGCTGAGCATGCTGCACAGACTGAGACAGGAGGATCACAAGTTCTAGGCCAGCCAGGCAACTTAGTGAGACCCTGCTACAAAACAAAAAAAAACAAGTAAAAAGGGCTGGGAATGTGGCTTAGTGTTACAGTGCTTGCCTGGCATTTTCAGGTCCCTGGATCCAAACCCAAGTATGCAGATGGGAACAGTGTGCAAGGTGAGAGATGCTGTGGCTTGAAGAGAACAGGAGCGATGTTAGGCCTCTCGTGAGGGTGACGCAGATAAACAAGTGTATACTCTCATTTTGCCTTGCAGATTAATTCTGCGAGGATTACAAAGCCAAATGGAATTGGGCTGTCTGTTTTGAGGCACTGACTATGGGGTTTATACTTATCAAATATTTACAAGACAGCCAATGTAATGGCACCCATCTCTTTCCAGAGCAGGCCCTAGAGTGTCTCTCCTGGATGCCATCAGAGGCTGTGGGTCAAAGTTTCCCTGAATGCTCTCAGCAGTGTGGTAGAGTGGGTCAAAGAATCTGGGTACAATTTGAGGCTCTCAGTGATGGTCTGGAGTCCTGAACCTTCCTGGGCATCTCAAGCTCACGCCATTTTTTTTTTTTTTTTTATCGGTACCGGGGATTGAACCCAGGACTGCCTGCTTCCAAGGCAGGTGCTTATGCCACTGAGCTAAATCCCTAGCCCCACTCATGCCATTTATAATTCTGACCGTTTTGTCATCTTATCAGCCTAGAACTGGGGAAAGGAGGTTTTGCTGATCATCTTTTGGTGAACACAGGATTTGTGCAATGGATGGATCCTGGAAAGAAACCAAAGGATTGGAGCATAGAGGTCTGGCTGTCACCAAGACCATCTCAGTGTCCTGAGAATCTCAGAGGACCTGTAATAGAGTAATGAGAGTGATGCAGGATTGTATGTGCCACTGTTTCATGTAAGATACTCTATTAAATCCTCAAGCAACCCTAGAGTGCATAGGTATATATTTACCGTTCTGCAGATGAGGATATATGCTGAGAATGGTTAGACATGGTCCAGATAATACAGCTAGAAAAAGGCTTCTGACCCTAAACCTTCTCCTAGTTAAAGTCTCCTCCTTTAGTATGGCAGCAGAAATACATACCCTTCAGCAGGGTCTCCATGGTGCTGGAGAGGCTGGGAGCTGTGCAAGAGGACAAGTATGGCTTCTTTCTTTTCTCCAGACTACAGGGAAATTGTGCAGGCAGGTCTAGCTGTCTTCTTTTTTTTTTTTTAATTTTTTTATTTAAGAGGAAAAAGAGAAAAACACAAAACAAAACAAAGCAGTGTAAGGTTACACATAATACAGAACTACAAAAAAAAACATAACAGTAAGAAATCACCTTCTTGCTAGATACCCTGGAAGATGTTTGTGTTCACAAGTTTTCACAAACCCTACATGACTGCATGGGACCCCTGATTCTGGGTGGCTTAGTTTGGCAATCATGTAGGGGGCACTGTGTGTGCTCTGCCAGTGGAGAACTTCCTATTGGGGAAGAAGCAGTTGTGGCAATGTCATCGCTCTGATTAAAGAAGACAAGGAGCAAACATAGTGCCTAATAAAGGGAAGAGATTGGGCAGCTGGACTGGGGGTGATTTGCACTCATAATGGGATAGTGTGAGTGGGACTGGCTGAGAAGGACACCTGGCACAAGGGCTGTGATAAGAAGCCCCACTGAGAGAGCAGCTTGGGAGTCCTCCCGGGGAGTCATCACAGGCAGATGGGACTGGCTCAGGACATTGGCCTAAAGATCCTGGGTCATGTGGTCCAGGGCAAAGATGAGCCTCAGTCTGAACATCTGGGGACCGCTGGCCTGCTCTCCACAGTGGATCACACTTGTGTGCACTAAAAGACCTTGACCCAACTCACAGCCACAGCAAGAGCTGTCTAGCTCAGGGTGACTGAAGGAGGACAACTAGCCCCAAGCAGGGACTCCCCACCTGCTCTCTGCGTGGACAGTGGGGCAAGAAGAAGCCGAGATGCTGTGTGACATGAGCAGAGGACTGGGGGTGGGGCTGGATGGATAGGGGACCTACTTGGGCAAGGAAGTCAGGAGTGGATGACAAGTCAGGAGTGGACCCAAGTATGGGTCAGCTAGGCAAGCCCAGGGGCAGCTCTTGTCCAGGAGCCCACAGATGGCTTCAAGTGTAGGACTCCCGAAGTTCAGAACTTAGGAAAACCAGGCCCTTTGTGCTTGTAGAGGCATAAGTGGGTTCTGGGGACTCTGCCAATGTGGACAGAGGAATGGCAAATTTGGGGGACTCTCCATCAGTGTGGCACACATAGGTGGTCAGGGCCATCCTGCCCCTGCTCACTAGGGCTCCCTCTTGTGGCGTACCACAGCAACACCCCAAGTCTGATATTGGTCCTCTACCCAGCAGGTGCCATGTCTTGCTCAGGAACCGTGAGTGACGAGAAGAGCCTATAAATGTGAGGAAGAATCAGAAACATGACCCCCAACATGTCAGTTTCAAATATTTGAGGTAGGGTCTGTGTGCCCCAGCCAAAGGCCATAGCTTCCTGAGAGTCCCAACATCCCATCACATTCTATCCCCACCTGGTACCCAAGGAGGGCTCCATCTTCGAACTCTCATTTGCTGAAGGTGACACTTAGTCCCACACTCATCCATAATGCAACATCGCCCTCTGGTGGTAACATCTAGAAGCCTCTTCTCTTGTAACCCTAGTAGCCAGGATGCCATTCCCAGAAGCACATCTGTATAGGGTAGTCTTCTAAGATCACTTGAGGTGCAGAAGGATGTAGGATAACTGGCTGTCGTGGAGAGTTAGGAAAGTAAGGTCTGTATATATCTCAAAGGTCAAAGAGGACATTTACTGTGACAAGCTGAATTTCTCTTTCCAGGTGTTACGGGGTACCAGGAAGCCTCTGAGAGCTTCTGCCATGGCTAAATTAGATTCCAGAAAGGAGCAGAATCCATGAACATTAGTTCTAATCTTCTTCCCTGCTGGGAAAGCCCTAGATATAGTTCTATGGATCTCTCACCAACCCACAAAACCTCTTTTCAGGAGTAGGGGAGGAAGAAAACACATTTCATCACTGAAGTATTAAACCCAAGGGTGACACTCACCATAGGCAGCCACTAGGAGGTTGCAAAGACAGAAGAAATGGCACTGTATAGCACAGCCAGTGGGTATTCCTATCCACCCTCTCTTGACCACGATCTGTCCTCAGATGGAGGAGTCGCCAGACCCACGGGTCTCACAGTGTTCCTCTGTGTTTGCAGATTGGCCTTAGGCAAGAGGAAAATGACCCCTTAGCTCCATAATGGGAGACAGTTTGGCATTTGGAATCCAAGTTAGTCTCTTCTGTCCTCCAGCCACTGGAAGGCAGGGCACAACCTCCCTGGATGATTCCATCTCAATGAAGCTCCTAAGTCCTTGAGAAGAGAGTCTTGAGTGTAAAACTGGTAAGAGACTTATTAGTTATTGAGGTCTGCATATATCTCAAAAGGGCAGAAAGGGCCTGTATAGTGATAGGCTTTCTAAATAAGGGAGAAAGTACGTCTTCCATTTTAAAAATTTTTAACAGGGAGAGCTCAGCATTGTGGTTGTCATTTTCCTATACCCTTGATCTGCTTCTGGAACACTGCCTGGTACTCCTGGGTCAGGCCAGTAGGGTTCCGGTCCAAGCATAACAACTGTGGACGGAAATATTTTCCTCCTTGTCTTGTCTCGTCTTCTCTTCTCTTCTTCCTTCCTTGATTTCTTCCTTCTCTTCTTCCTCCACCTTTCCTCTTTCTCCTTCTCTTTCTTTTCCTCTCCCTCTTCCTCCTTCTCAGACATATCCTCCTTCTTTTCCTCCTCCTCTTTTTTTACCCTGTTGGGGATCAAACTCAGGGCTTTCCACATGCCATATAAATGCTCTACCACTGAGCAAAATGCCTAACTCTACACTGAAAATCTGATATCAATGAGCTTATTTAGTATTTTGTATAAAGCTTCATATTTGTTAGCAGAAAATTGTAACTCAGTGAAAGTTAAGGATTGCTTATAGTAATAGATTTTTCTTTCAGATTCAGACCTCTGTCTTTACCAAAAATTTATGTGATGTATATCCCATTAAAGGTCACAAGTTAGGCAAAAGTTTCTTATTTATTAGAGATGAGAGATTTAAAAATTATGTTATGTCTAAATGAAAATTTAAGTATATTAGAAGATATCATCATGAATATTATGCATGGCTTTTAATTTCCAGTATTCTGTGTAAAAATGTGACTTACCTGTTATATTCTGTAGAGTTTTACATAGTCACCCATGGTTGGTATGTTCTATGGTGTTTGCTATTCAGATAAGATAGTAACATTAAGCTTACTTCTTCCATTATAATGTAATGTGATTCATCTTCTCTTGTGAATGCTCAGCAACTGAGGTTTGATAACTAAAAATAAGAGAGATCAATGGGCTAGAGATTAGCCAATATTTTGGCCCTAGCCCTCCAAGGTCAATGAGGATCCAAGACTTAAAAGAACCCCTCCTGCAACATCCTACAACTCAGGTAACTCCCTCCTTTTCTGATCAAGGAGATTATAGGATCACAGAGGAGAGTGATCAATGGTATGTAGTGTGCCTAAGGAGACTTACTAGGAAAGAAAAATCTCTCAAGCTTTCACAGAAAGCAACTTGGCCAAGCAATGCCCGTGACCATCCAAATGCTGACACTGACAGAAATACTAAAAGACGCTATACACGGTTCCAAGATAAATCCTGAGGAGACGTAACTGACCTTGACAGACAGCAAAAATTAATTAATATAGGTCTACCTTAACTTGGTTTTGAACACCCAGTAGAAAATTATAACTATAGGGAAAAAAATTGTCTGCAGCAGTCCTCTAAATACAGCTCCTCCAACTTCAACTGACCACCCATCACTTGCAGCTACAAAACAGAAAAGGGAGAGAAGTAGGGATCCACTAAGGCTGGAAATTGATCACATGTGTAGGGTTGAAGCAAGGCCTGTCTGAGAACAAAGAGCTCTTGAAGCAAGCCAAGCAGCTGGTTGTTAGGCAAAAAGCATGTCACGTGACGTGAAACAACCAAATGTATAAATAAACACGGTACAGTGGTTGAACAATTTCTTTTCCTTTCACGAGGAGAGAGGGCTCCACTTGGCCTCAGCTTTCTGCCTCTTATCCTTGTTTCTCCGTGCTCTCACAATCCTTTCTCCAGGAACTTTGAGAGCTGTGCTGAACCCAGCACCCCAACCCCACCCACAACTAGCTACTGTCCTCATCTTCATGTCACCATTGACTCAAGCCAGAAAGGATTTATGTCCCTTCAGGAGTCAGCAAAGCCCAATAAACCAAGTTTCTTCAGCCTTATTTGTGTCAGGTCAATGCTCTAGGACCATACCCCCCACCCGTCTTAGCATTTACTTCCAAGGTCTCTTAAATTTAGATGGGAACCTCCTATCCAGGGACACTAAGGCTCAGGGCAGAAAGCAATTAAAAGATAAACACTTGAGCCAGTGTTTTTTGTACAGCATTGTGAATGTTGAACTGTGCACTTAAAAGGATTGAATTAGTAAATCGGGGTTATGAATGTTGTGGAAACTGTGGAACCAAATCATAGTCACTTTTGTTAATACTTAACCAAATAAATAAATTAATAAGAAAAGTTGGTTAGTTATAAGGAATTTCATGGATATATAATCAAGGTACGTAGTCACTGGAGAGTCTGCTAAGGCCACCCTGTGCACAAAACCCAGGCCAAGTTTACACAGCAAATACTTCTGCAAGGACATCTGACTAATGACTGTCAGCTCAAGTGAAGAGTGGCACCATTCTGGTCATTGATTCATGAATCCCGGGATTGTAGTCCTTTGGCCAAGAATTACTGTTTCAAAATATCTTATGTAATCCTCCATTTGTCCGTAACACCTTACCCTTGCCTTGATACCTTATCCTTGCCTTGACAGTCTGACTACACACATGATTTACAATGACACACAATCTCCATTGCTATCTTGTTACTCCCCATTACACTTAATTAATAGAAATGCTTCCTCTGTGCATTGTTTTAGCACCATAAAGAATAAAACTGTTGTCCCAGGCTAGCGCCTTCCTCAGCTTCTCCCTGTAGACTCTATTGCCATCCTTTAAAGTCTGAACTAGAGGATGATATGCAAGACCCAAAAGGACCTCAGAAAAGGATGCCATTGGTCACCAACTGGATGTGTGGTTGGTGCTGAAAGGAGGGACAGAAGTGATTGTGGCCTTCAGATCTGGGTCCTGTCAGTACATCTGTGTCCTCTCAGGAGCTAAAACACCTTTATGGAGGACAAGTTTGATTTGGCTTGTGTTAACTTGGAAAATACATTTTCTTCTGGAAACCAGCAGAAGTAATTAACATAAATTATCTCATTTAAAATCAATGAGAAATTCACTCAGCTTTCAGAAGTCCTACAATTATGTTTTCTCTAGGCTCCTAATCCTTTACTGATTGCCCATTGTCACAACAATCCACCTCTTCCTTCTCCCCGTCCCATAATAAGCTCAGAGAGGGAGGTGGACAGTCAGAATATTTGAACTCTGCAGTCATATCATCTTTGCAGATTCACAGTATACAGTATATATTACCCACAGCATGACACCCCTAGACTGCAGGGCACTCACATTGTGGCCAGTGCTTACATACTACTTAACCACCCTCCACACCAGTTACTATTACACAGACTCATTAGGAGTACTGCTTACTACTCTGGGCCCTCTACTCCCTTCTTTGGATTTCTAGTTCAACTTTTTCTCAACATTCAAGTGTTTTGTACTGAAAGCATGTAAGAAATACACATGAACTCACCTCCCAGAGATGATTTTCTTGATCTCTGATCCAGTGTCTCAGCAGTCTCCAGTAAGTGCCCTGGGTTCCAGTTTCTGGTCCCACCTTCTGGTGTTTCACGAGGAAGCTGCAGGCAGCATCTACAGGCAAATTCTCATTTCTCCAAATATGGGCCCATGTCCTTCTAGAAGCGGTTGCCACAGTCCTAACCATCATCTTACACTTTCCTGTGCTCATTCATTTGAACCATTTACTTCTTCTACTTTTGCCCTGAATGTACCTCCAAATGGTCCAGGTCACACTATCACCTCTGCTGGTTCACATTATTATTGTTTCTTGGGCCTCGGCTGGTCCAGATGGCTCCTCCAACACTGACCAAGGTCCTTTTTTCAGGCCACTCAGACCACACATGCAATTAGTTGGCATCCAATGTTTTGGAATAAATGAGTAATAAGTACCCTTTTACTAGACGGGCTCAGATTCAAGCCAGGTGGCCTGTCTTAGTTGGCGTACACTTCACTTGGTTCGCATTAGCCCTTCTTGGCCAGTGGTCTTGCAATGAACACCTTATACACTGTATCTGGCTGCTTTTCTCTTACCCTTACCCTTTACTGCATGGGGCCCTGCTGCCATTCCTACCTCCTCAATTCCATTCTCCACACTCAGCCAGAGCAACACAAACATGCACAATCACACACAAGGACGGAAGTACCCCAAACGCCCGCCATGTTGATTCCTAGCTAAAAAGATAGCTGTACTCTTCCTTGCTCCTGAAATAGGTCTGCTAATGTGGGTGCTGGCCAGGCTTAGCCAGGTGCCTTCTGCCCTCGCCTACTCTTTCTCCCATCCCCTCCATCAGTAGCCTTTCCTCCTGCCTCAGGGTCACCAGACTTCTTTTTTACTCAGCCTGAAGAGCTTCCTTCACTGCCCACTAAGCCCACTGTTGCACAAAAATACCAGCTTGTGCTGTCCTCCTGCTTCAGAAAACCCTGAGGGAGGAAACCCAACACCTTCACGGGTCTGTAAGGCTGGTAGGCCATGTGGGCAGAGGTGAGCTTGTTTTTAGAAGAGAGTTGCTCCTTCTCTAAAGGAGATTTCCGTGGAGAGGGATTTGCCCTTCCCTTTTGCTGTTCCTGTCTTAGTGAGGCACGTGCTCAGGAAAAATGTAAGAAGTGCAATGGTGCCAGGTCTGAGCCACCCCCACAGCCCACAGCAGCTGCCCACCACCTGGTGCCTGCTGGTTGGACACCAGCACTGCTGGAGGTCAAAAATAACACCTGAAATGCAGTAGGTGTCTCCATACAATTCCTAAGAGACTGATAGCAGGGACAAAGAAGGAGAGAGAGCAGTGAATGAGAGAAACTACATAGCATCTGTTTTTCATGGGCCAGGTGAGGCTTTGGCAGGGAGCAGTGCAGCTGCAAAGGAGCTTGTTGCCGAGCTAGGGAATGTGGATCCTTGTCCATACTAACAGAGCACAGGGTGACTGCTGCAGATCTGTCACCTGCCAGGTATGTGCTTGGTACCAGCATGGACATGAGAAAGAGCCAAGTGTGCAGGGTGAGCCATGCTGCAGCCTGGTGGGAATAGGAAGAGGTGGGCAGGTCTCCTCCAAGGATGAAGACTCCTGCATCATCTTAGAACCTACTTCCCCTTATAGGTCACAAACTTTCCCAAAGGATCTCAAAGGTGAATGGAGCTGTCACAGATCAGGTCCTTGAACCCAGGGTTGATGATTATCAAATGTCCAAGAGTGAGCCAAGGAGGTGGTACCACATCTGCTCCCCAAAAGTAGGATGGGCTAGAGACAGTGCAACCAGTCAGAAGATGAGGGTTGAAGCCACCCTGGACACTCGGCTCTGTGGTAGCAGGTGAGAGAACCTAGGTCTGTTTGGTGCTGTGGTCCTGAGATTTAAGATTGGATCCTTTTCAGTGGTTGGCCCTTTTGCCATCTCAGCAGCCTAAATCTGCCAAGGGGAAGGAGGCTTTGCTAAAACTTCTGCTCAGGCCCACAGGATTTCTGTAATGGGTGGACTCTGATGAGGGACCAAGGGCTGGGGACATGAGATCTGGTGGCCACATTGTCAGCCCGGTGTTCCACGGTGCTCACAGAGCACATAAAGGAATAATGAATATGGAGAGAAAGGGATTTCATTTACCAATATTTCATATAAGATTATATAGATAGACCACTGATATATAGACAGAAAATATACATATAGATATGATTTTTTTTGTTCAAGACAGTCTCACTATATAGTTCAAGTTGGCCTCAAACTTGTGATGCTCCTGCTTCAGGCTCCCAATTCAGCCTGGAATTACAGGTGTCTGATGCCATGCCCAGCTATGTTATATAACATTCTCAAAGGAACCCTAGAAGACAGGTGTTATTTTACCTTGCTCTACAGACGAAGACATAGGCTCAGAGAGGGTAAGTGCCATGACCAGTTCACACAGGTGAAGGATCTCAATCAACTTTCTGACTCCAAACTTTTTCTTAGTGATGTTTTCCTGTTTCCCCTGGATGACAGCTGAAAGCAGTCTCTGTGCCCCTCAGGGAGCTCGGAAATGTGTGGACACTTCTTCTTCTTTCTTTTCCAGGGCTGCAGGCAAGGTATACAGGCAGATCTAGCCATTTATCCTGGTCTTTGGGATTTTAGGCACAGAAATCTCAACATGGCTTCTTATGAGATTCGCAAGTATCAAGAGAATGACAGAAAAACCGTCCTGGACTTGTTTTCCAGTGGCTTGTTGGAGCATATCCCTGCCACCTTCCGCTACACGCTGATTCTGCCCCAAACCCTTCTGTTCATTTTTGGGGTGCTCCTCTCTGTATTCCTGGCCTCTGGTTCCTGGCTCCTGGTCATTGTATCCAGCCTCATTCTGCTCGTTTTCCTGTGGTTCCTGGCCGGATACACCTGGAAGAAGCGTGTGAATGAATGTTTGTCCACAGACCTGGCTGACATCACCAAATCCTACCTGAGTGAATGTGGCTCCTGTTTCTGGGTGGCTGAGTCTGGGGGTAAGGTGGTGGGCATTGTATGTGCTCTGTTGGCGGAGAAGCACCCACTGGGCAAGAAGCGGCTGCGGCTGCGGCATCTGTCTGTGTCCTGGGAGCGTCGCAGAGAGGGGATAGGGAAAGCCCTGGTCAGGACTGTCCTCCAGTTTGCTCGGGAACAGGGCTGCAGTGAAGTTGTCCTTAGCACTAGTATGCTGCAGTATGATGCTCTGGGCCTCTACCAGAGCATGGGCTTCCAGAAGACAGGCCATTCCTTCTATACCAGGTTCTCAAGGCTGAGGGGTACCCCTTTATTTCATCTCACATACCAGTTCCCTTCTGCTCGGGATGGAGGCCTGTAACTGTTTGTCTTGTGTATCAGTCAGTATCTAATCAGCTCTGCTATAGTAACAAGCAAACCCTGACATCTCAGTGATATAAACAATAAAAATATATTGTTCACACATACCTGAGCCTACTGTGTTTAATATTGGGATGGGTATACAGTGGGAGGCTCTGCTCCATTCTGCCTTTCTGAGGTGGTTTCATGTGTCTAACAACATGGCACTATTGTATAAAAAACATACAAACAATAACAAACTTTTATTTAACTTATGACTGTACCAGAAATTTCTTTTTTTCACATCCAAAGTTGTATTTACTTGACTAAAATATAAAGTAGTATTACCATGAACAGAGAAAACTATGGTTAGTGAAATCTAAAGATTGTACATATTTTAAAAGCTGTCATACTGTAAACATCACAAAACACAAACACAAAGTCTCAATGTTTAATTAACAAACTAAGAACTCCTCTAGGAAATTTTCTCTTTTTTTCTGTTACCTAATTTTATTTTGGATTTAATTCACATTTTGGGTTTCTCATAGAAGAAAAACTATGCAATGTTATGCTTGAGTGTCAGATTTTTGTTTTCTTAATATTATGCTCTCAAATTGCATCCACTTTCCTACAAATGGCTCAAATTTATCCTCTTTATGACAGAGTAGTACTGCACCATGTATAAATACTACATTTTTGCAAGGTATGGTAACCCAGGCCTGTAATCCCAGCACTTGGGAGGTTGAGGCAGAAGGATTGCTGTGAGTTTGAGACCAACAGGGCTATATAATGAGTTCAAACCTACACTACATGGTGAGGCTCTGTCTCAAAATGCACACCTACATACATATATACACGCATACATACATACATAAGTACCACATTTCCTTTATCCATTTATCTTTGGATGGACATATAAGTCAGTCCAAAGATTTAGCTATTATGAATTGTTCTACTATAAACACAGGTGTGTATGTATCATTGTAATGTGGTACCTTTAACTCTTTCAGGAAGATACCTAGTTAGACAATAACCAACCTAGTGAGTCAAATAGATTTTCTATTTTTAGTTTTTCAAGGAATCTTCTTACTGATTTCCATAGTGATTGTACTAACTTACATTCTTACCAACAATGTAGAAAGGTTCCTTTTCCCCTGAAACCTTTCAGTTTTTGTTATTATTTGATTTCTTGGTGATGGTCATTTTTTCTGGAATGAAAGAGAAAGTCAGTGTGGCTTTAATTTGCATTTATGTAATGGCTGGTGATGCTGAACATTTTTTTTTAAAGAGGAAAAAAAACAAGGAAAATAAAACAATGAAATCAATCTAACTAAACCAGCATAATTGATACAGGACTTTCAAACCTTTTGAATCAACACTAGTTACCACAATGCCTTTGTTGGCTTCAAAACAGGTCTAGATATCACCTTCGGACATATAGGATAGAATAGAAACAATAAAAAGAAAACAAATGCAATAAAGAATCTCAAAACAAGCCAGTAGTAAATACACAATGACTTCCATAACATGTCTTGCTATCTTTCAAATAGCTGCTTATGCCATCAGAGTTAGCATAATAAAATAAAAGAGAATAAACCTCAACCCAATAGAAAAAGCAATGACAATGATATGTTTCCAGGAGGGGGAATCTCCTCCCTGTGGGTCATGTTTGTCTCCTTCCGCAGTCCACAAACAATGCTGACTCACAGAGGTAGGCTTGGATCTGGCTCCTGCTGAACATTTTTTTTTCACATACTTATTAGCCAGTTGTGCTGTTTCCTTTGGGAAATGTCCATTCATCTCAGTGGCTTAGTTTTGATTTGGTCTTTTGTTTGGAGTATTGGTTCTTTATATGTTCTAGATATTAATCCTCTGTCTGATGAATAATTGGTAAATTTTTTCACATTGTATAGGTTGTCTCTTCACACTATTATTTCTTTTACTGTGTATAAGCATTTAAATTTGATATGATCACATTTACTAATTCTTCATATTATTTCTTGGGCAGTTAGGGGTCTACTCAGAAAGACTATGCTTACACCTATGTCTTCAAGAGTTTCACCTATTTTATCTTCTAAGAGGTTAAGTGTTTCTGTTTTAATATGTAGGTCTTTAATCTACTTCAATTTTAATTTAGTATATGATGAGAGATACAGGTCTAGGTTCAATCTTTGGCATGTGAATAGCCAGTTTTCTTAGCACCACTTGTTAAAGACCTTACTTTTCCCCCAGTTTTAAGTTTTCAGCCCCCTGGTTAGATATCAGCTAGCCAAATGTGGCTGGAGTTGTTTCTTGCATCCTCTATTCTGTTCTACTGATCCACCTGTCTGGCTTTCCCCACCCCCAATACTATGCTGTTTTTATCACTGTAGCTTTGCAGCGTAACTTGAAGTATAGAATTGTAATGTTCTTGCCTTGTTCTTTGCTATTCTAGGTCTTTTCTGGTTTCATATGACCTTTATCAATGTTTTGCTAGTTCTATGAGGAATGTCATTATTATTGTGATTGGAGTGCATTAAACATGTATAAATTTTGGAAGTATGGCTATTTTGACTATATTGATTCTAACTGTCCAGAAACAATGGGTATCCTTTCATTTTCTGATGTCCTCTTTGATGTCTTTGTAAGGTTTTGCTATAGTTTTCATCGTAGAGGTCTTTCACATCCTTAGTTAGGTTAATACCAAAGTATTTTTCTTGATGCTGTTGTGAAAAATATTGTTGTTCTAATTTCTCTCTCAGTGAGTTTATTACCAGTATACAGAAATGCTATTGATTTTTGTGTATTGACTTTGTATCCCACTATACTTCCAAAGTTGCTAGAATTTTTTTTGAGTTTTCTTTGTAGAAGATCATGTCGTCTGCAAATAATGATAATTCAACTTCTCCATGTCCTGTATGCATATCCCTTTTATTACCCTTGCCTGCTTGATCTGGCCAATGTTTTGCACACTGCATTTTACAGGAGTGGTGATAGAAGATGTCCTTGTCTTTTTTCTAATTTTGAGGGAAAGCTTTTGGCTTCTTTTTATTTAGTATGATTTTGGCTATTGGCTTTTCATAAATGGCTTACATCACATTGAGATAAGCTTCTCCTATAACTTTCTTCATGGTTTTTATCATGAATGGATGTTGGATTTTGTCAAAGGCTTTTACTGCACCAATCAAGATCATCATGTGGTTTTTGTGCTTGTTTCTTTTTATTTGATATGCTGCATTGATTTGTATATCTTGAACCATTTGTACATCCCTTACATGAATTGTACTTGTTCATTATGTATGATCTTTTTGATGTTTTGTTGCATTGTTTGCCAATAGCTTGTTGAGGATTTTTGCATCTATGTTCATTAATGAGATTGGTCTGTAACTTTCTTTTTATGTTGGGTCCTTGTCTGGCTTAGAAATGAGGGTAATGCTATCTTCCAGTAACATCTTTGAGAGTACTACTTCCCTATTGATATCATTAAAGAGTTTGAGAAGCACTGGTGTTAGATCTTCTCTAAAATTCTTGCAGAATTAGACAGTGAATCAGTTGAAACCAGGGCTTTTCTTAGTTGGCAGGTGTCTTAATTTTCTTATTGCTGAGGTGAAATACTCAACACCCAAACTTAAAGGAGAAAAGGTTTGGCCCACCATTTGTAGATGTTTCAGTACAAGCTTGCTGGCTCCAAGCTGGGGTGGCATGGCAGATGGACATCATAGAGGAGAAGCAGTCCATGGCAGGCAGAAGACAGCAAGCAATAAGCAACAAGTAAGGACTCTTGTTCTGTCCCTTATATCTTATCCAAACTCCCCAACCTTAGAGTCAGTTGCACTCACATCCAGGATGAGGCACCCTTAATCCTACCCAGAACTACACCAAACCAATCAGTGGTCTGATTTAGTAATCACACACTCTCGGTCCCAGCAACACACACTCGAGATTGAGCCACCTTCCAAAACCACCTCAGGGACTACCTAAGTATTTAGGAGGATACCTAGACCTAAACCTTAACAGTTGGTTTTCATCATTTCCTCAGTTTTACTGCCTGATATTGGATTAGTCAGAATTTTCAGTCTTGGTACAGCTTTGGTAGCTCATATTTATCTAGGAATCTATCCATTTCTTTTGAATTCTCCATTTTATAAGAATACAGGTTCTCAAAGTTGTTAGTAATGATCTTCTGGGTTTGCGAAGAGGCTGTTGTGATTTTACCTTTTTCATTTCTACTTGAATTTATTTGGGTCTCTTCTTTTCCTCTTTTTTTGGTAAGATCAGCTAAGGATTTATTTATTTTATTCTTTCAGAGAACCAGCTCTCTGATTCATTGATCTTGTGTAATTTTTGTCTCAATTTTATTAATTTCTGCACTGATCTTTATAGTACCCTTTCTTGTATTAGCTTTGGGTTTGGATTTCTCTTGATTTTCTAAGACCTTGAAGTGCATTAATAGATTCTTTATTTGGATTCACTCTGTCATTCTGATGTGGGCATTCACAGCCATAAAAATTCCTCTTCATTTCATTATGTCCAATAGTCTCTCTTACGTTTTTTTTTCTTTTTGTGGGTTTGGTTTTTTGTTTGTTTGTTTGTTTGTTTTGGCACAGGAATTAAACTCAGGACCTTGTCCTTACCAGGGAGGCACTTGTGCCAATGAGCTATCTCCCCAGGCCCAGCATCTTTTATGTTATATTGCCATTATTGTTTGGTTCTATGAACTGTTAGGTGTCTTCCTTGATTTATTCATCAACACATTGATTATTTAAGAGAGCTTTGATTAGTTTCCATGTATTTGTATCATTTTTGTGATTTCTTTTGCCATGAATTTCTAGTTTCATGGTGTAGTGATCTGATACATGGGATAATTTTGATTCTGTACTTACTTATGCATCGTATGTAGTCTGTCTTAGAGAAAGTTCCATGTGCTGCTAAGAATGTGTATTCCATTTTTGCTGGGCTGAAAACCTATTTTTTATTTGTTTGAAAGTGAATTCAACTCTCATATTTCTTTGTTGACTTTCTGTCTAGTTGACTTATTTGTGACAGTGGGGCACGGAGTTCTCTCAATAAAATTGTGTTGATGTTTATCTTATCTTTTATGTCCAGTGGTGTTTGTTTTATGAAGTTGGGTACACTGGTGTTCAATGCTTATATGTTTTTTAATATAATAAAATACAACAAAACAAGACAGAACAAAGCCAATCAGGACAATGCAGTGAAATCGGTACAGAACTTCAGAGCAGGATACCAGGATAACAATACGTACCATAGTATATCTTGTTATCTTCACAATAGTTGTCCATTCAATCAGGTATAGAAAAGTCAAACCAAAAATAGAACACCATAAAACCAATCAAAACAGAATAATGAATAGAGCAAAGCAATTAATCAGAACAAAGCAAAACAGTGAAAACAGTATTGGCCTTCAAAGACAAGATAGAAAAAAATCCTCCACATTTGCTATATTGCATACTGTCATCCTAAGCATAATGTAAGCATAATAAGAGATGCTTACACTTCTGGCCCCAGGTTAGCATAATCAACCAAACAATACAAGCATTTAGTTGCTTTGTGTACCTTAGTTGTTATCAATCATGGCTGATCTCCAAACCATCCAGCTGCTAACTGGGATGGGGCACATTTGATTCTTAGCCTGCACGCAGGTAGGCCCATGAGAGATAATAATTTGTTCTCTCCAGGTGCACCCATGGCTCTCTCCACTTACCAGGAAGAATGGTTCATTGCTTTCTTGATTGGTCCCCCAAGTTCCAGCATGGCTGATTCTCTGGAAACACCAGTGCTTATATGTTTATAATTGTTATCTCATCCTGTTAAAATATTTCCTTAACTAATATGTAGTGAGTGAGCTTCTTTGCCTCTTCTGATCACTTTTGGCTTGAAGTCCACTTTGTCTGAAAATACAATAGCTATTTCTGCTTGTTTTGAGAGTTCCTCTTGGAGCGTTCAGTTTGCTTCTGCACAGTCAGACTCCTTTCCCCATCAGCCATAAGTTAGGATCTGGTCAGAGAGTCCAGATTGTTTCGTTTCCTTCTTTTGTGTGGTAGGGTCCATTTCTCTAACTTCTCTATAACATTTAATTTTCCTGTCAGTTCCTTTCGTCTTCCCAGAAAACTACTTCTCCTTTTTACTTCCCAAACTTGTTGTTTTCCAGTGTCTGGAGTCTGGATCTTGGGGAGGCTGACTTTTGCTGCCATTCACCTCTCCACTATCTTCATTCCCTTGCATGAGCAATTTCTGCTGGGACTGGATGGACAGTTGTCTGGGTTTCAGGATACCTGTGCAAATGTCCTGGGTTGGCTGAGGTACTAGGGCCACTGGGTTTCACCCTGCTCCAGAAGCTCAGGCAGGATGCAAGGTCATTGTAGATCAGCCAAAATAGAAGCCAAAAGAAACAAAGGTTTTTCAAAGTTACAACAGGTGTCACATATGCTAACCTCCCAGCCTCAATGAAAACAGAGCCACCTGTATACAGACACGTTATAGAATCACAGAGCAAAGAGACAGAATGTAGCCCTGTGTGGAGAAACTGAGACAGTGATAGAGATAGTTGCACCCAGTCATGAGGGAAGTATGACTGTCACACAGTGTTCCTGTGCGTACAGAGAGAGGTCATTGGACCAGTATGGGTCTCAGATCTGCCAGCCTTAGCCCAGCCCGTCTCAGCCTCTGACCACAAGTTCTCAGGAACTCCAGATTATTAAAAGTGCCTCAGGCCTCACTATGTGTCCCTATAAGCCTTAAATCCTCTGGGGGGAAGATGAAAATAGTTTGGTACTTGAAAGAGGTAGCAGTTGCACAACATTGTGAATGATATCAAATGCCAAACATTTGTGTATTTTTAATGGCTAAATTTCTTTGTAAATTTCACCTCAAAATAATGTGATAATGAAAAGAGTTTAGATGTGTCTAAAGCTCAAAAGGAGGACACTGAAGTTTACAGAAAGCAAAGCAACTGAGGGAAGACTTATGGAGGATATTGTTGCTGGGCTGTCTGCCCTTGCTGAGCCACAAAGCAAAGTGGGAATTGACACCCTAAACCCTGATTCAGTGATAGCAGAGGTATTGAGGGCATTTCTTGGCCAGATTGACAAAAAGTCATTGCGCCTATGAGACTGGGATGCTGGCAGAAGATAAGATGCTCTCTCTCTCTCTCTCTCTCTCTCAGTGAGTGTGTGTGTGTGTGTGTGTGTGTGTGTGTGTGTGTGTGTGTGATAGAGAATGGGGTAGGGTGAACGGAGAGGGGAAGGTGAGATTTCCTTCCTGGACCAAGGCTGTTGAAAGCAGATCCTGCCAACCCATGACCTGTAGGGGTTCCAGAGAATAGCATAATACAGATTCATGATTTGCACAGGAACTCTTTTGGGCATGCATGAAATAGCAAACTGATGGTTTTCTAAAAGGTAGAAAGGAGGGAGGGCATAGTCCAAGAAAAGTTTAGAGGTCAGTGATTTTGATCCAGCAATGAGAAAATCTAGAATGCTTATTCCAAATTCCCCTTTCTTAAGCTAATAAGTAATCTATTCAGTTTGAAGGATCAGATTTTATTTTGAATGTTGTAAACATTTAAAGATATTAATATTTCCTTTTATGTAATAGTTTACGATTAAACAAGAGTTAAGGTTGCATTTTGCTTTTGCTTCTCCAGGACACGTACTTGTTTATGCACATGTGTGTATACGCAAGATTGCGGTACATGTTAGAAGTCTTCCAGCCTGAGCTCCTTCTACCGTCTACTCACCCTCCTTTTTCCCTTTATTTACAGTTTTTAAAAATTGTGATAAAATATGCATAATGTTAAAGTGCATATTCAATGATACTAACATTCGCAAAGTTGTAGAACCACTACCACTGTCTGTATTTCATCATCTCAGACAGAACCTGCTTCCGTGAGGTGGTAACTCCCTGCTTCCTCCCCTCTCCAGTCTCTAAAAACCTCTGTTATGGGGCTGCCTGGTTTGTGTACCTCATGTGAATGAAACAAAATTTACTTTCCTACGTATGGCTTCTTTCACTTGGCACAATGTTTTTGAGTTTCATTCAGGTCATAAGATATATTAAATTCCCTTCATTTTTAAAGATCAAAAGTTAGTCCACTACACACCTTTGTAAACACGGCATTGTTTCTCTGGTGTGAGAAAGTGAAAGTGTAAATAAGGACCAAAATGTATATTAAGTATTGTGAAATAGGAAGAAAATGTTCAAATGGGAATGGGATTGAGGGAGGGGGTCAAGGAGAAAGGAAAGAGAGGAAAAGTTTTAAAAAAGAGAAAAGAAGGACAAAATGGAAACAAAGCTTTTGTAAATAGAGAGGGAAGGAGGCGTTGAGGAGAGGGAAGAGGATGGGAAAACGGAATGAAGTTGTGTCATGACAGGCGCAGATTCCCTGTGATGAATGTGGTCATCATGTACATCTATGTACATAGATGTACATCATGTACATCTATGCATCAATAAAATCTGATTAAAAAGTCACTGCACATATATGGTGCATTTTATTTTACCACTCAACTATTGTTGAACACCATCACTGTCCCCATTGCTTCACAAGAATTAATTTGTTTTTAAAACAGAAAATAATTGTTGAATTCAGGGATGGGGAAATCAATACTTAAAGTGGAGACAAAGTGAACTTTAAATTGGGGAGATATAGGAGGGTGTTCATAAGTTACTTTGTGCATAAACTTATTGGTTGACCTTCTGAACAAAATCAATGTACAAGTATTCAGATTTGTGTATTAGAAACAACCTGATTTAAATTTTGCTACTATAGATTGTCTTAGTTATTTTTTTCATTGCTGAGACAAAATACCTGATACCCCAAGTTAAAGATTTATTTAGCTCACAGTTTGTCCAGAGGTTTCAGTCCATAATTGGCTGGCTCCGAAGCAGAGTGACATGGGGAAGGGCAACCATTCATGGCAGTGAAAGGCAGCAAAAGCAGCAAGACTCTGTCCCTTATATTGTATGCACACTACCCACCCCAAGTGGGTGTAGCACTCATACTCACAATGCCAGTATTGCACTGCCAATCAATCACAAATCCTAGATTCAGCCGCCTCTGAAAAGCTCACCCACAATCACTGCATGAGGCTTTGAGGGGACATTCAGACATAGACCATAACAATGGATATTGTTGTAAGAAGTTTATTTTATTTTAGGAGCAACTATGCAGGAAGTACAGGCTTGCGAACATTTTACTTATTTATTTATTTATTTATGGAGACAGAGTTTCACTATGTGGTTCAGGCGGGCCTTGAACTCACTATGTAGCTCAGGCTAGCCTGAAACTCACAGCATTTCTCCTGTCTTAGCCTCCCAAGTGCTGCGATTACAAGCATGCATCACCATGCCAGCCTCAACTAGGGTTTTTTTTTTTTTTTTAACTAGCTTAGCTGACAGGACAGAATGTTGAGGTGAGGCATCTGCTTATTCATGAGAGGAATTAAGCAGAGGTCTGAATCCCAAAAGCTGTGTTTAGAGAAGGTCTGTAGCCAAAAAAAAAAAAAAAAAGAAGCAGTGGCTAAAGGGTCGGCTGCAGCAGGAATTTCTCCTCTGGGATGATTTTAATTCAGCAGATTGTGAATGAGGGCGGGGTCACATGATACTTAATTTTCTGCCAAATGAAATAGAGAAGCACCCACAGGAACAAGTGAGCATTCTTTTGGCTCTGGGGGCGGGGGCCAAGAAAGTAGAGCATCCTGATGGGAGCAGGGAGGGAGCTCTGACTCTAACAGAAACCTGTTTCAGGGGAAGCAGGACTGAGCAGGGAGACTGGTGCCGAGGGACTGCACATCATGGGACACTGTGAGACCTGAAAGGGTAAGAGAGGTCTTTTGGTTGCAGTGTAGGTCTCCACCCCCCAACTACTGAGGATGTGAGTGGTTTTGCCTCAGAAGCACTTGGGAGATAGCTCAAATCCTTGATGAAAACATTGGGTAACCTAGGAATCTCTGAACTTGAAATCTAGTTGGATATGAGGAACTCAAGAGAAAGGAGGCTGTAACTCACATTTGCTAGTATGACCCAGAAGGAAAGGTGAACAGGATAGGAATTGGGGTAGGATCCTGCACTGCACCCCTCACTACTGTGAATACCTTTGTGTGTGAGAATTTCTTTTCTTTTTTTTTTTTTTTTTTTTTTGAGAATTTCACATAACAACACCTTCTCTTCAGCTGGCCCATACACATCATGCTTGCTTTCTCTTTCTTTTTTCTTCCTCCTCCCTTTCTTATGTTCAAATTATTATCTCATTTTACTTTTAGATGATTTTAAGTTTATGTTGTCCTCACTACTGACAGTATGTTGTCTTTTTAAAATTATTTAGCTTAATTTATGGTTTCAAAGTCAGGACCTTGCAGTTTCTTCCTCATTTAAAAAAAAAGGTTTTTTTATCCCTAAAATTCATTTGGAAACAGAAGAAACCTAGAATAGCAAAGACAATTCTGAGCAACAAAGACAAGGCAGGAGGCATCTCAATTCCTGACTTGGAATTATACTACAAAGCTACAGTGATAAAATCAGCATGGTACTGGCAAAGAAATAGACCTGAGGATCAATGGAACAGATGCAAACACAACTACAAAGACACTCAGCCACCTTATACTTGACAAAGGGGCTAAAAATGTGCACTGGAAGAAGGATAGCCTCTTTAATAAATGGTGCTGGGAAAATTGGCTTTCCACATGCCAAAGACTGAAACTAGACCCATGCCTATCACCTCACACTAAACTAAAGTCAAAATGGATCAAAGATCTAAATATTAAAACAGAAACACTAAATCTATTGGAAGACAGTAAGTGGGAAACTTGGAGATATACGGGTAGGCAAAGAACTCATGAATAAAACACAAACAAACCCCACAGAGGGCAGTTCAAAGAATCAACAACTGGAATCTCATCTTATTAAAAAGTTTCTGCACTTCAAGGTAAATCATCAACAAAGTGAAAAGAAAACCCACAAATGGGAAACATTTTAGCCAACAATTCCTCAGACAATGGACTTATATCCAGAACATATAAAAAACTGAAAAACATGGGCTGGGGAATTAGCTCAACGGCATAAGCATCTGCTTTGCAAACAGGTGGTTGTGAGTTCAATCCCTGGTACTAATTTAAAAAAGAACTGAAAAACATCAAGCTCCCCAAATTCAAAGACCCTTTCCAAAAATGGGCATCTGAGATGAACGCACATTTCTCAGATGAAGACATACAAATGGCAAATAAATACATGAAGAAATGTTCACCATCACTGGTCATTTGAGAAATGCGAATTAAAGCAGCATTGAGATTTCATCTTACTCGGGAAAGAATAGCTGCCATCAAGAAATCAACTGACAACAAATGTTAGCAAGGTAGTGGAGAAAAAGAAACACTGCTCCACTATTGGTGGGAATGTAGACAGGTGCAGCCACTGTGGAATCAGTATAGAGATTTCTCAAAAACTAGGGCTGAAAGTTCCATTCAATCCAGCTATTCCCCCCTCCCACCTGGATATTTTCCCAGAAAAAGAGAAAAAGTCATGTCACAACGATATATGTGCACCCATGTTGATAGCAGCGCATTTTTTTATTTAAACAGAATAAACAAAACAAAAAAGGTAGAAATAATAAATAATTTCAAAGAAAAAGTAAACAGTAAGAAATTACTAGTTGATAATTAAATATTTTCCTCTTATAAATAGTTGTTCAAGTTACAAAAGTGAAGCATACAAAGTGGGCATTCAAACAGTGAGACTGCAAACAGTTCTGTTCAATTATCCACCAAAATCTTAGTAATGTGGTTAACAATCCTATACACTTAAGCATACATACAGTTATCCATATCTTCATGTATACTAAGATTAAACAAAGTAAAGCAGACTAAAATCACTCTGAACAAATAATAATAGTATTGCTGGATTTCACATCATGACACTACAGGATCAGCACTGGGTACTGTAGTGTCCTTTTTTTTTCAAAGTAGTTGTTCATTTCATCATGTGTCATAAGATCAGTTCTCATAAACTGTTTATAGGTTCTATACATGCGTGAGTTTCTACATATATTTCTAACCTTTCTATATTAGAGAGAAACAAAACAAAGCAAGACAAAACAAAACATATTCCTATAAACAAGTGAAATGAAAAAGTCATATTAAACCACAATACAAGGTATTCTACATTAGTTACTGTGTTGTCTCTTGTGATCTTCAATATAACTGTCTATATCATCAGGCATAGTATAATTGAATATAGCAGTACATAACAATATTAATAAAAGCAAAACATTGTAGATAGTGTAAAACTTCAAAATCAGGTAAAAATCAAACTGGAATGGGTATTGTAGTGAATCTTGTCATCTGCAGTGTAGTTGCCTATACTCTCAGACTTGATACTATCAATCATAACAGTTTTGAATAAAATCTGTTGATACCAAATAGCAATCTAACAAACCGGATTCAACTAAAATCAGTCATGGTAAAACAGTGTAAGTTACATATAGGGCTTCATCTTAAGTTAATAGGGAATTAAGGATGATTACCATACTAAATCCTGCTATTTTGGGGATAGCTATCTGTGCCCTCAGGTCTAGTGCAAGTAGACAAACTGAGACAGAATATAATCTATCTAAACAGAGCGGTGCGAGTAATGTGAGTTTTAAATCCTGATACCCTATTAACAACATCCTCTACCTTCTTTTTTTAGATTATTCCTCCCCTTTCCCTCCCACAGGGTGCACTGTGCATTTTTGGGTCCCACTAGCTCCCTCAGTTTTTAGATTGAGGGGGCAACCTGCTATTTACCTAAGTGGTTCCGAACCTTCTCCCTCCTGGACTTGATCTCAAGTTGTATTCCTTTACCTACAAACCTGTCTTTCCAATCTATCTGCAGGTGCTAGTCAAGTTGTCCCTATTACTCTCTGGTTCTCTGTAATATACAGCATTATTTTCTCATATTTTATTTTTGGTCTATAAACCCCTTTTCAGGTTCCTTATATTTCCTAAATAGAGTATCTTGGTGGACCCTGCCTCCTTATCTACTCTGCCTGTGTTTCTTTTTTTCTTTCTTTCTTTCTTTCTTTCTTTTTAGTGTATCAAGGCCATCTATATTAGAGATTATAGCCAACCTTCTCTGCCTCATTTCTGTTGTGCTATTTTTCTTACATTAGTTGTCTGCTTTTCTCCTTCAATCCACTTTCTGCTCCATTCATTGAGGCCTCTTTGCCCCTGTTCCTGGAATCCTGGTACTTTTTTCTCTCTCTAGAATGTCCTTCAGTATTCTCTGTAGGGTTGGATTGGTGGTCGTGAATTCCCCCAGTTCCTCTTTGTCTTGGAAGCATCTTGTTTCTCCACTAATTTCTAGAGACAGTTTTTCAGGATACATCAATCTGGGCTGGAGGTTATTTTCTTTCAAGGGTTGGAATACTTCACTCCAAGCTCTTCTTGATTTGATGGTCTGTGTCTATATGTCTGCCATGATTTTGATGAGTTTTCCTTTATAGAGGATCTGCTTCTTTTCGCTGATGGCTTTTAATATTCTGTTCTTATATTGAATTTCTGGGATCTTGATTATTATATGTCTGGGTATAGTTTTGTTTTGGTTGTAGGTGGCAGGAGTTCTGTATGCCTCATATATCTGAATATCATTTCCTTTTCCTATGCTTGGGAAATTTTCCTTAATTATTTCTGTGTATAGCCTTTGTATTTCCTTTGTTTTTGCTCCTGATTCTTCATTCACATTCTTTATTCTTAAGTTATAGATTCTCTTGTATTCTTGTAGCCTTTGTATTGTTACTGCCTGTTTCCTTATTATTTTTAAGAATTTTTCCTTTCATGATCCCACATTGCAAACCTGTCTTTCAGTTTGGATAATCTATCCTTAGTTCTTTCAAGCTGTTTTGTAAGCTTTAAATGAAATTTTTTACATCCTGGTAATCTCTTTGAACCTGCTTCATGTATTCTATATTTTCTTTATATTCTTCATCAAACGTTTCTCTCCTTTTTTTGTGTTCCTCCATTCTTCCATGTGTGTCTTCTTGAGAGGTGCTTAGCATTTCTCTTATTAATCTACTTGTATCTTGCTTTACTTGATTAAATATTTCATTTTTGAGTTCATCTATGAGGTTCCAAAGATATCTCTTCACGTCCACTGATGCTGTATCTGACTCTGCATGTTTGCTGCCCTCAGTCTCTTTTGTATTTACCTCTCCTGGCTCACTGTTCTCAGGGCTGGGGGCTGGGGAAATTTTCTTGTTCTTTCTCTTGTCATGTTTTTGGTTTCCTCCAAACAGGTGTATAGCGCAGGTCCCAGACCTTTTCCTTGTTGGTCATGGTTTTTCTGAAGCATGCTGGCTATGGTTTTCTGCCCTCTCCAGTTTGCTATTGGTCACTGAGGTGCAAGCAGGGGCAGTGTATGCTGGCCCCTCCCCTCCACATCAGTCAACATGTGGGCACCTTCACTGCATTAGTATGCGCTCTTCATAAGGAATTTGTTTGGGGCAATTTATTGGGTCGCAACCAGAGGCATGACCCAGGCCAACCATTTCCCACCAATCTGGTCTGGGAAAGGAATAACTGATTGAAGTCACTGCTGTTCCTTGTTCCTGCCCATCCTGCCTGATTCCAACATGCCATCTAGTTGGTCGCCTCTTTCCCGTGCGAGGGTCTTATCCCAGCACTCACCGCAGATAATGCAGGTCCCTTGCTGGCTCCCTTCTCCATTGGACTCGCCGACCTCTGACTTCAGCACAACCACGGTTCCAGCAAGTCGCAGCAGTAGTTCAGTTAGCTCAATTGAAGCAGTGGGAGTTTGGGCAGCTTGGAAAGTTGCAGCCGAGTGAGTTCAGGCACTGCAGAGAGAGCACCATGGCCGCTAATCTTAGCTGCTCCAATGTTAGCCCCAGGACTGAATGTTTGTCCAGTTCTTTTCCCTTTAGTTTCTTCCTGGGTCAAGAGGATCCATTTCCCTCTGTGTGGACCTCCCCACTATATGTTATTCTGGCATCTGAGTTGTTCATCTCAGGGAGCCTCTGTATTCTTTTTATCTATCTGCCATCTGTTACAGAGTCCTAGGAGCACAATTTGTAATAGCTAAATCTTGGAAACAAACAAAATGCCCATCAACTGCAGAGTGAATGAAAAAGTGTGATATTTTTATACAATGGAATATTACTCAGCTATAAAAAAGATGATCTTGAGGCTTTTATAGATAAATGGAGGCAACTTGAGACTATCCTCATAAGTGAAATAAATCAGACTCACATTTGTAAATATTGTATTGTCTCTCTAGTATAAAAATAATAAAAACCTGAAAGAGCAATAAGATCCAAAATACATAATAGATATTATAATAATGAAAGAGAAAGAAAGTGCTCCAAAGGTAAAACTGTATGTATGTTTAAGTGTGCAAGATAAATAACCATTCTACTAAGTTTTTGTTAGTTTATCAAATAGAATAATTTGTACTGTCATTGTTGGATTGTCCACTTTTTATACTTTGATTTTGTAACTTGAACAACTACTTCTAAGATAACAATATGTAATTTATCAATTAGTGATTTCTTACTGTTATTTTTAAAAATTCTGTATTATTTTTATCCTTTTTTGTTTTGCTTTTTCTCTCTAAATAAAAAAGATTTTTTAACTATGAGATGTGATAGAAAAATACAGTGAAAGCTTAAATTTTAAAACTTTTAGTATGGTAAAAGACACTGCCTTTAATTCTACATAAAGTATTCCCCCTTGCTGTGAATACAGTGTGAGACTCAGTGAATGAAGTGAATCAGTTCTCACCATAATGTTTGTATGAGCCTACTTTTCTGCTGGATAGCACTTGGCAGCATCATCCACAATTTTTGATCACTCTTTGTAAAGACACTCATGAAAGACTTCAGAGTTGCTTCAGAAAGTGACTCTGGGTGGGTGGGTGTGTTGGAGGGGGGAATATTCAGAGGAGAATTAATGGTAATGTGACCTTTGAGGCTATAATTTTTTAAAGGTTTAAATATTCACCACATATTTAATCATACCTTATATGTGTGCTACCTTAATTTATAAATTACTGGCATCATCATGTATTTTTACATTTTTCTTATCTTAAAAATAGCACATCTTTTAACTTTTGAAATTTGTCTCCTGTTTCTATTTTAGATAATTTAATTTAGGCTTTCCATTCCAAACCATACATTTTACAGATTTGTCAGTATTTGTGATCATTTCTATTGTTATAATTTTATACTTATCTTTTTACTGAGGAAAATGTATACATAATTTACCATTTTTAAGGGTTCAAGATGTTATGTACTTATATTAACTACCTACAAGAAATGTAAATATTATTTATTACACACATACATTCATTAACTAAAATTTTTTAAAGAGTGAAAAAAAGTTTTTTAACCTCAAAAAATGTACTATTTGAACCATATTTTAAAATTACATAACTCAGTGTCATTGAGTTTGTCTACAATGTCACATAATGATCACCTCATCCATCTCTAAAACATCTTTATCATTTCAAAGCAAAACCCTCTGTCACTGAACTGTGATTCCCCATTTCCCTCCCACACTCCCTCAACCCTGAAAAATACCATTCTACTTTCTTTCTGTCTCCATGAATTTGGCTAATCCAGGGACTGCACATAAATGGAATCACAAAGTATTTGATTTTTCTGTCTTTACCTCTTAATCACCATCCTTAAAAACTTGCAACTCATTGAAGTTTAATGTTTCTTTGCATTCTTAATAAATCTAGATATTATTTTAATATTTTAGTGTCTACTCGCTGTCGTGCTAATGGAATCACCTACTATGAAATGCTGACATCTTTCCTTCAGTTCTTTGAGGCTGTCTGCCTGATGTTCTTTACTTGATCTTCTAACCCCTCCAAAGTTGACTTTCCCAAGTAATCTCCTACATGACTGAAGAATGATAGAATTTAAGATGTTTTCTAGGCATTAACAACTCTCTTCCTCCAGACAACATTGTTAGACTGCCTGGACGCTGCTTCCTGATGCAATTCGTGGTTCTCTGAGGCTCTGTTCTCTCCTTTCACTGTAGTATTTTTCTAATCCACAATAACTGGAAGGCTCTATCTTACTACTTTTGCATATATCTTTGTCACTACTGACTTCAGTTCAGGCTTCACTCTAGTGCCTGTGGACTAGCATTGCTAGATAAAACACCTCAAGACACCTCAATACATTTTCACACAGTGAATATTTTTTTAGCATAATTATAACCCCAGGGAAGACCTAAACTAAAAAATAATTTGGAATTTAGTCTTAACTGAGAGATCTATATTTTTATTTGACAATGTTTGTTCTTCTATTCATGAACAAGGAATGTCTTTCCATTTTCTGAGACCCTGTTTGATTTGTAATTTTCAGCGTACAGTAATTTTCACTAAATAGATGTTTTACTTCCTTTGTTAGATTGCTTCCTAAGTATTTCTTCTTCTTCTTCTTCTTTTTTTTTTTGGATGCAATTGTGAAGGGTGTGGTTTCTCTTATTTCCCTCTCAGAGCATTTGTTTATTTAGAGGAATGCTATTGACTTTTGAGTGTCAACTTTGTATCCAGCTACATTAATGAATTTGATTATTACATCTAGAAGTCTTTCAATGGAGTTTTGGGGGTCTTTTATGTAGAGTATCATGTCATCTGAAAATAATGATAATTTAACTTCTTCCTTTCCTATCCTTATTCCTTCTATTTCTCTCTCTTGTCTAAGTACTCTGACTAATATTTCCAGCACTACATTGAATAGGAGTGGTGACAGTGGAAAGCCTTGTTTTGTTCTTGATTTTAGAATGAAAGATTTCAGTTTTGGGCCATTTAATGTGATGCTGCCTGTTGGTTTGTCATAGATGGCTTTTATTAAGTTGAGGTAAAGATCATCTATTCCAATTTTCTGTAGGGTTCTTATCACAAATAAGTGTTGGACTTTATCAAAAGCTTTTTCTTCATCTATTGAGATGATCATGTGGTTCCGGTCGTTGGCTCTGTTCATATGGTATATTACATTTATTTAGTTGCATATGGTGAATCATCCCTGCATTTCTAGGATGAATCTCACTTTATTGTGGTGTATAATTTTCTTGATAACTTGCTGAATTCCGCTTGCCAGTATTTTATTGAGGATTTTTGCATCTATGTTCATTTAAGAGATTGGCCTGTAGTTCTCTTTGGTATTAGATAATATTTGCTTCCAGGAATGTATTAGGGAGAATTGCTTTCCTTTCAATTTCACTGAAGAGTTTGAAGAGTGTTGGCATTAAGTCTTCCGTGAATTTCTTGTATAATTCTGCAGTGAATCCATCAGGACCTGAGTTTCTCTTTGCTGATAAGGTTCTAAATTACATTTTCAATTTCATTAACTGAAATTGGGTTATTCAGCACTTTTGCATCTTCTTGATCCAGCTTTGGCAATTTGTATGTTTCTAGGACTCTGTCCATTTCTTCTGAGTTATTGAGTCTATGAAAGTAAAGGTTTTCAAAGTAGGTATTTATGGTCTTCTGTATTTCCATGTGGTCTGTAGTGATTTTACCCTTTTTCATTTCTTATTGCATGAATTTTAGTTTTTTCTTTCCTTTTGTAAATAAGGTTGGCTAGGGGCGTATCAATTTTATTTATTTATTTCAAAGAATCAGTTCTTTGATTCATTATGTGTATTGTTTTCTTAATCTCCATTGCATTAACTTCTGCTCTGATCTTTATAATTTCTTCCTTTCTTTTGGCTTTGGATTTGACTTGCTCTACTTTTTCTAGATGTTTGAGGTGCAGCACCAAGTTATTTATTCGTGTTCATTCTGTTTTCCTGATATGGAAATTCACTGCACTAAATTTTGCTCTAAGAACTGCTATCATTGCATCCCACAGGTTCCAGTAAGTTGTATTTGCATTTTTGTTTACTTGTAGACATTGTTTAATTTCTCCAGTTTCCTCTGTGACCCATTGATTGTTCAGGAGTGTATTATTTAATTTCCATGTGTTTATGAAGTTTTTGCAGTTTCTTTGTCATTAACTTCCAGTTTCTCAGCAGTATGACCAGATAATATGCATGGGATAATTTTGATTCTTTTTTTTAATCGGTACCAGGGATTGAACTCATGACCATGCGCTTGCAAGGCAGGCGCTTATGCCACTGAGCTGAATCCCCAACCCTAATAATTTTGATTCTTTTGCATTTACTTAAGCATCTTCTATAAGCTAGCATATGGTCTGTTTTAGAGAATGTCCTGTGTGAAGCTGAGAAAAATGTGTATTCTGATGTTGGGTGGAACACTGCACATGTCTACTAACTCCATTTGTTCACAAGTTTGATTTAGTTCTGTTATTTTTTTTGCTGAAATTTTGTCTAGTTGAACTGTCTCTTTGTGTCAATAGGTGTTCAGATCTCCCATTACAGTTATTACTTATTTGATTTTTCATGTCTATTAATATTTGTTTTACATAGCTGGGTGCTCCCGTATTTGGTGCATTTATATTTAAGGTTGTTATCTATTTCTCTTGAAGTTTTCCCCTAACTAGTATGTAGTGGCCTTCTCTTTTGATCATTCTTGGTTTGAAGTTCACATTGTCTGAAAACATAATAGCTACCCTTGCTTTTGGGGTGAGGGTTCCTGTTTCACGAAGTACTGTTTTCCATTCTTTGACTTTCAGTCTATGAGTTTCCTTTTGGGAGTCAGATGGATTCCTCATATACAACATATGGTTGGATGTTGTTTTTTGATCCATTCTGCCAGTCTGTTCCTTTTAATTGGTGAATTGAAGCCATTTACATAACTGCTTATAACTGATACATATTGGCTTACTTTTGTCATGTTATCTTTCTGTTGTTGGTTCTTTACCTTTCCCCTCTGTTTGCCCTGCTTGGTGGTTTTTTCTGTTGGTGTTCTTGCAGTGGTAGTTATTTTTATGTCTATCTAGAATATCTTCCAGTATTTTTTGTAGAGTTGATTTGGTGGTTATGAAGTTCTTCAGCTGTTCTTTGTCATGGAAGTATCTTATTTCTCCATCAACTTTGAAGGTCAGTTTTGCAGTGTGCCTCAATCTGGATGGGAAGGTGTTTCCTTTTAGAATTTGAAATACTTCACTCCATGCTCTTGTTGACTTCATTGTTTGTGTTGAGAAGTCTGCTGTGATGCTGATGGGCTTTCCTTTATAGGTGATTTGATTTTCTCTAACAGTTTTTTAATATTCTGTTATGTTTAATTTCTGGGATGTTATATGTCTGGGTGTAGATTTATTTTGGTTATGGCTAACTGGATTTTTTTTTTTTTTTTTTTTTTTTGTACTGAAGATCAAACTTGCAACCCAGTACTTGCCAGGGAGACACTCCTACCCCTAATTCTATTTCTATGTGCTTCACTTATCTGTATGTCAGTTTCTTTTCCCATGTTTGGGAAATTTTCTGCTATTAATTCTACAAATATTCTTTTTAAATCACTCATGTTTCCCCCTTCTTTTTCATTTACACCTATGAATCTTATATTGCTTTTCTTTGCATCGTCTTGCAACTATTGAATTGTTATTTCCTGATTCCTTGTTATTTTTAAAAGATCTTTTCTTTTCACTAGCTGCAATCTTGTCTTCGAGGTCTGAAAATCTATCTTCACATTCATTGACACAGTTTTGCCAGGTTTTAATGGAATTTTTGATTTCCTGGATATCTCTTTGAATCTGTTTCAGGCATTCTAATTCTTTTATTGTTCATGCAAGATTTCCTTTTGCAGTGCTCTTTTATTTTCTTAACTATGTCTTCTTTAGACGTGTTTCAGCATTTCTGTCATTACATTTATTCTTTCTTGTCTTACCTGGGAGATTATTTCTGATCTGAATTCCTTTACAGCTTCATGGAGTTGTTTCTTTATTTCAGCTGCTATCATTTCAGAAGTTTCAGGTGTGTAACTCACACTTTCTTCTATGTCCATGTCTCCTAGGCTTGTTTGGGATGGGCTGGAGATTTGAGATTGCATTTTGATGTTTCATTTTGTCAATTCCTGTAATGTAATCTCCTAGGGAAGCCAAATGCAACATCTCAGTTGTTTTCTGGGTTGACTGTCTACACTGGAGGGGGCTTCCTAACCTGAGTGGGGTCATTAGGCAGGTCTTACCGGGTCCTGGTGGCATTCAGAGGCTCCCAGAATGGAGTACACTGGGTGGAATTTCAACACACCTCACTTGGTGTGCCAAGGCTCCTCAGCTAATTGGGCTTCCTAGGAGGGGCCCTACCAGGTCCTAAGTGGCCTTCAAGGCTGCACATCTAGGTGGAATATGCTGTGTGGGCCTGAAACTCACACCACACAGTGCATAGATACTCTCTAGTTGCTTAGGGTCACTGGCCAGGTTCTGAGAGGTGCACTAAGGCTGCACACTAGGTGGATTATGCTGTGCAGGCCTTCAGCTTGTGCCCTGTGGAGTACTGAAGCTCCCCAGCTACTTGGGGTCACTGGGTGGGCCCTTATCAGGACCTGAGTGGGTACCAAGGCTGCATGGCTAGGTGGAATACTCTGTGCAGGCCTTCAGCTCACACTGCACAGGGCACCAAAGCTCCCCTGCTGCTTGGGGCCATGGGGAGAGGCCCTACCAGGTTCTGACTAGAGAGACTTTCTTCCAGTGAATTTGTTTGGTTACTTTGTCAAAGATAAGGTGGCTGAGCATGTTTGGGATATGTATTCATCTTCTGTTTGGTTCCACTAATCCTCAGGTCCAGTTGTTTTGTTTTTTGCATACCATGTTGTTTTTATTATAGTAGTATGATTTCAGGTCTGGGAAAGTGATGACCCCATCTTGCCTTTGTTGCTCAGAATTGCTTTTGCTCTCTAGATCTTTTCTGTTTTCAAATGAATTTTAGGAAGGTTTTCTCTAGATCTGTGAGGTATGATAATGGTATTTTGACAGGGATTGCATTAAATCTCTATAAAAATATTGGGAATATGACCATTTTCTGTATGTTTGTTCTTTCTATCCAAAGGATGCTTTTCCATTTTCTGATATCTTTTTTTTAGGGTATTGTAACTTTCACTCTAAAGGTCTTTTACATCCTTTGTTAGATTGATTCTTAAGTATTTTGGGGGGTGTTATTGTGAAGGGTGTGCTTTCACTATTTCTATTTCTGTGAGTTTGTTGTTTGTGTACCAGAATGCTAATGACTTTTGACTACTTTGTATCCTGCTATACTACTGCCTTTAGATATTAAACCTATAACTCTTTTGGTGGAGTTTTGGAGGCCTTCTATGTAGAGTATCATGTCATCTGCAAATAATGACAATTTAACTTCTTTTCCTGTTTTTAGTACTTTTATGTTTTCTCTAGTCTAATTGCTCTGGTTAATGTTTCAAAAACTACATTGAATAGAAGTGATGATATCCTTGTATTGTTCCTGATTTTAGAGTAAATGTTTTCAGTTTTTGACTATGTAATACATTAGCTGTTTCTTTGTCAGAGATGACTTTTATGAAATTGAGGTAAAGACCATCTATTTGATTTCCTTAGGGGTATTTTTTTATCATGAATGGATGCTGGATTTTGTCAAAAGCTTTCCCTGCATCTATTGGGATGATCATGATTGTTGTCTTTGGCTTTGCTAATATGCTGTATTACATTTATTGATTTGTATATATTGAACTACCCTTGAATCCCTGAGATAAATCCTACTTGGTCATGGTATATGATCTTCTTCATGATTTGCTGCATTTTGTTTGCCAATATCTTATTAAGGATTTTTGCATCAATGTTCATTCAGGAGATGGGCCTGTAGTTTTTCTTTCTTATTTGAGTTCTTCTCTGGTTTTGGAATCAAGCTAATACTTCTAGGAACAACTTTGGAAGTACTGCTTCTCTTCTATGTCTGTAGAGTATCAGCATTATTTGCATTAGTTCATCTCTAAATTTCTTGAATTCATCAGGGAACCCATCAGGGCCTGGGCTTTTTTTGTTGGTAATTTTTTTTATTACATTATCAATTTCATTGGCTGATATCAGTTAATTTAGAATGTTACATCTTCTTGATTTAGTTTTGGCAATTCAGTTGTGCCAAGTAACTTGTCCATTTCTTCTATGCTTTCCATCTTATTAGAATATAGGTTCTCACTGTACATATTGATGATCTCTTGGATTTCTTTACAATGTGATTTCTTCCTTTTCATCCCTAATTGCTTGAATTTCTGTTTTTTCATTCCTCGTTTTAATCAGATTGGCTGGTGGTTTAGCTATTTTATTCTTTCATAAAACCAACTTTTTACTTCATTCTTTGTGGTGTTTTCTTAGTCTCTACTGCATTAATTTCTGCTTGTATCTTTAAAATTTCATCCCTCATATGAGCCCTTTGAATTGCTTTTTTTTCCCTAGAAGTTTGAAGTTTAACATTAGGCTATTTGAGCTTATTCCGTTTTCCTGGTATGTGAGTTCACTGCTATAAATTTCTTAGACCTGCTGTCATCCCATAAGTTTTGATACATCATATCAGCACTATCATTTAATTATATAGTTTATTTTTTTCCCTCAATTTTCTCTGTGACCCATTGGCTTTTCAGTAGGGTATTGTTTAATTTTCATTGTTAATGTAGTTTTTGTGGTTTCCTTTGTTGTTGATTTCCCATTTCATTGCACTATGGTCAGATAATATGCATGGGATGATTTTAATTCCTCTACATTTACTTAAACATGTTTTGTCCATTAATATATGATCTATTTTGGATAATGTCCTATGTGTACCTGAGAAGAAAGTATATTCTGATGTTTTGGGGTGGAACACTGTAAACATCTACCAAGTCAATTTGTTCACAGACTTTGGTTTAATTCTAATATTTCTTAGTTGATTTTTTTTATCTAGTCAATATACCCATTTACTTACAAGAGTGAAGTATTAAGATTCCCCCAATACAATTGTGTTAGTGCTTATTTTATGTTTCATGTCAGTTAATATTTGTTTTATATGATTAGGTGTTTGGTGTGTAAATATTTATGAATGTTATCTTCTTCTTGGAAGTTTCCTTAATGAGTATGTAGTGAGCTTCTTTGTCTCTCTTAATCAGTTTTGGTTTAAAACTTACATTATCTGCAAATAGAATAGCTACTTCTGCCTTTTTCTGAGTTCCTATGGCAAAGATAATTGTTTCTTATCCTTTGACTTTTAGTCTATAATTTCTTTTTGGGTTAAATGTGTTTCTTGATTGTAGCATATTGTTGTATCTTGCTTCTTGATCCATTGTGCCAGTCTGTTTCTTTTCATTGGTGAGTTGAGACCACTTACTTTGATGATTATAACTGATATGTATCGATTTTTATGTTGTTTCCTTGTTGTTTGTTCCCTGTATTTGTCACTTTGTTATGTTTAATTTCTTGCCCTGCCTGTTTTCTTTCTATTGACATTCCTGTATTTTTGGTCTTCATTATCTCTTTCTAATATGTCCTTCAGAGCATTCTGTAGAGTCAGTTTAGTGGTCATGAATTTCTTGTTGTTGTTTGTCATGAATGTATCTTATTTCTCCATCAATTTTGAGATTGTTTTGCAGGGTACATCAGTCTGGGTTGAACATTATTTTATTTTATGGCTTGAAATACTTCAAGCTCTTCTTGTGTTGAGAAGCAGCTGTGATTTTGATAGATTTGTCTTTATAGGTGATATATTTTCCTCTAGCTGCTTGTAATATTTTGTTTTTGTGCTGAATTTCTGGAATTTGATTATTGTATGTTTGGTGTAGATTTATTTTGGTCATGGCTATTTAGGGTTCCATATGCTTCATTAATTTGTATGTTAAATTCTTTATTCATGTTTGGGAAGTTTTCTGCCATTATTTCTGTGAAGAGGTTTTTAATGGTTTTGCACTGTCTCTAGGTTTCTCACTGATTTCAATCTTATGTTGTTCTTTGCTTCATCTTGTAGCTGCTGGATTAATTTTTCAAGGTCTGTTTTTAGGATGTCATTTTTTATGGTTGCTAGTTGCATTCCTGTCTTCTAGATCTGATATCCCTATCTTCACCTTCATTTAGTCTGCTGTGTATACGTTCAATGGAATTTCTTATCTTCTGTAGTTTTGTTTGGATCTGTTTTATGAATTCCATTTCTTTATGTTTGGCATTCATGGTTTCCATCATTTTCTTGATCTTCTTCCTTTGCTTATCTGTGTCTGCTTTGATGTGTTTTGATAGTTATTCCTTTTTGCACCTTAAGAGATTTTTTTTCCTATGGCCTCTTCATTTGTTTTTTCACTTCTGTTGCTATCATTTCAGAAAGTTTCATTTCTTAGCTTTCAATTTCTTCCATCTCTGTGTTCTGGACTTGTCCTGAGTGAGCTGGGTATTTGGGACTGCATTTTGTTCTTTCTTTCTTGATTCCAAGGATTGAATTCACAACCTTGTGCTTGCCAAGCAGTGTATTTTGCTTTCTTTTTTAAAATGTGATACCTTATGAAATCAGCAATATTTATCATAATGCCTGTTGTTGTCTTCAAAATAGCTACAGATACCTTTGGACATAGTAAAAATCAAACAGAATAGAATATAGTAGAAACAATAAAAACAAAACAATGAATGCAATAAAGGACTTCAAAATAAGCTAATAGTCCAAAATGGCTACCATACTATGTCTTGCTATCTTAAATAGCTGCTATTGGCATCAGATTTAACATAAACAAAAGAGAATAAAACCCACCCGCCCCCCAAAAAAAACAATGAAAATGATAGGATCACCTCCTTGTGAGTTTTGGTTTACTCCCTCTGTAGTCTACAAATGGTGTTAACTCATGGAGAGAGGCTTGGGTGTGGCTGTTTCTACTTTGGCAGCAGCCCACACACGGCATCAGTTTCCAGGCAGAGATCACCTCCTTGTGAGGCCTAGTTCTCCACATTTTGCTTTTTCATCTTGTCATTTCCTATTTTTTGTGTTGATGCTTTTAGATTTCTGATCTTATATAATCTTTCTACTAATATCAAGACTTCCCTAAGTGGTGTCTGTTCCTCAAGATGTCTCATCTTTCCGGGGCAATAGAGGGAGCAGCATGTTCGTCTTGTAGCTGCTGTATTGATTTTTCACACTGCTCTCATTAGCACTACTGCCAGTCAGGGGTAATGGAGAAGGCATCAAGCATGGACTTACACTCCACTGACTGGCACCACTGTCCCAGGGCAATGGACACGGTGCAGAGCAGGGACCTAATTCCATTCACCAGCACTGCTGTCCCAGGGCAATGGAGAAAGCAAAGCGTGCAGACTTACACTCTGCTCTCTGGCACTGTTGTACCAGGACAATGCGGGAGGTGCAGAGCACAGATCTGCATTCCAATTGCTGGCACTGCTGTTCCAGATCAGTGGAGGAAGTACAGAGTGCAGACTTGCACTTCACTTGCCGGCACTGTCATCCCAGGGCAATAGAGGGAGCACAGAAAACAGATCTACACTCCACTCACCAGCACCACCATCCTGGGCACAATGGAGGCACAGATTGCAGATTGTTGCCGTCCCGGGGACATGAATACATTTTGGATTGTGAAATGCAACTAGCTTTTGGGATAGTGATGATGCAGAATTTTATGGTTTGGATCTTAAATATCCACCCCCAAAGCTTCTATGTTGTAAGCCTAGTCTCCAGTTGATAGTGCTACTGGGAGGTGGTGGAAACTAGAAGACAGAACCTGGTTGAGGGAAGCAAGCCACTTGGGGCATGACTTTGGAAGGTATACTGGGGCCCTGGCCTCTTTCTCTCTTTTTCTTCCCAGTAGCCACGAAATGAGCAGTTTCCCCTGCCACATGCTTCCATCATGATGTACTACAGCAGCTCAGAGCAAACAAGGCGAAAGGATCATGGAAAGAAGACTGTGAGCCAAAATAAATCTTTTTTTGTTCTAAACTGATTTTCTCACATACTTCGTCACAATGGAAAGCTAACAGGGTTTTCTCAGGGCTAGATCCAGGACTCACATCTGAAAGAGACTGCACTGAGCTATTTTCAATCTTGCTTATGATCATCTGAGTATAATACAGTAACTGCTACAAGCCATTTTTAGGAGAAGGAAGAAGAGTAGAAGCCAGAGGAAAATCTATTACCTACATCACTGGAGTCTGGGTCTAATATTCCACTTGGGAGGCCTCAGAACCATGAGAGCACTCAAAAGTCAACTTGAGAAAATGAACTGCCAGGGTTATGGTATGAGCCATGCTGTGGCCCCCACCTCCACCATGCAGTCACATACAGATGCTGTACGGCATGAAGGGAAGGGTGGAGGAAGGTGACATGATTGGGCAGGGAAAAAGAGACTGTGCTGTACCAAATGGTTCACAGTGGTGGCCAGTTGCAGAAGAGCAAAGGCTTTAGTTCAAACTCAAGTTGGGGCCTTTAATTATACTTTCACTAATTGTGACTGAGTGCTCAATGAAAAAATGACCACTGGACAATGTACAATCACTTAAGTGTTCAGAACAGTTTAGGGACTGTGTTCTTTATTGTAAAGGAAGACATCTACCCCCACCCCCACATATCATATAGGCTTAAAACAGAGAAGGAAAAAATAAATTTGGTTTTCATAACATCACTGCTCAAGAGTTCCAAATTATGTTTAGGTACAAATCTAATAATTTTCCTACTCAATCATTAGAAATTTTCTGATACCTTAAAAATCTTATACATAAATTGTGATGCCTAACTACCCACGCATCTTTGACATGAGTGAAGAACTAGAAAGGTATCATTTTCTACAGGACTTTCAAAATGAACTGTGTCTCTTTCCCAGTCCCTTCTCCCTCAAAAGGTAATCTTTTAGTTTTAAAAAACCTATCTGCCTTACACCAACCCAGGATCACAAGTGTCCCTAAGCAACCTGTTTACCTGGGCTTTGAACTTTATAATAAGGAGTATCATAGCAACACATTATGTAGTTTCTCTCTATTCAATGTTGTTCCTAAGGTTCATCAAGGCTGATATACACGGTTGTTCATTTTCTTCTGCCTAGAATTCTTTTGTATGGATATATGGCTTTATCACTCCACAGCAATGAGTTTTCTATTCCTAGCTCTTTTTTGGACTGTGGAGCTTATGCCTGCCTGTCAAGATGGCATTGCTGTGTGTCTCTTCTGAACACAAGAGGGCTGCTCCGTAGTTTTCTGCCTAAAGTTCTCAGCTTAGTCAGTCAGTCACATGGTCAATTATGCATTCTCTCCTGAAAGGACTTGAGTTATCTCCAGTTTTCTGCTATGTTAGGAAATGTTGCTAACTTTCCTGGGAAGATTAGTGATGCACACTTTGTTTCCAAGTGTACACTTAGATCTGTTGAATTGTAAATGCAAACCTCAAGTGACATATGAACTCTATTTGACAACCATTCTTGCCAACACTGAAAGACTGTGAAATCAGTAGTTTTGCTAATCCAATGAGTATATAAAGGCATATTTTTCTTGCTCATAATGTGTATTTTCTTAATAATAAATATGAACAGCTTTCACGTTGAGATCCATCTGTTGTTTTTATCTACTTCCTCTTCTCATGGATATTCAGAACTCATAGGAATCCTTTCATACATTCTGGATAAAAATCCTTTGTTGGTTACATGTGTTGCAATTATCTTCTACCACTTTGAGCCTTGTTGCCTCACGGCCTTCTTAGTGTCTCTTGATAAGAAATTTTATATCTGTCAAATTTATCAATATTTTTTACAGTTAATATTTTGTTCCTTAACATGTTTTCCCTCAACTAAATTCTTAGCCTTTCATTTTAAAAAGAAATTTAGTGGTTTTGTCTTTTAAGTATCTTCCAATTTTCCTATTATTAAAATTATATATTTGTATCTATTTTGAAAATCAAAGATCTATGGATTTGTTCTTTGGGCATACCATTCCCTGTAGGTACTTACCTGCCCCTCTTTAACGGGCTCATGTGGTCCCTTCACTTTTCAGTTGTAGTTTATATGCTGCCCAGTTGCCTCTGAGGTTGAGGATAAGCATTCACCAGGCATGACTTCCAGCTTCTCAAGGTGCTTAGATGGACATTTGGAGTGCACCAGTATCTGCTGCTCTTGAACTAAGCCACATAGTAAAACTATAATTGCTTTTTCTTCTCTGTGAAATTGTTTGTAAGAAACTAGAGACAGTTAGATAGACAGTGAAGATCTCCAGTGAACTTGCTTTGAAATCTGTATTTCTTTAAATTGTTTTTTTAACTGTTTTGTTCTGCTTTGATATGTTTAATCTTACCCTCTTTGAAATGTAAAACAAGTGTGTAGGACTGATAACCATATTACTGAGTTTTTGTTCGATCATTGAGCAGAACTGTTTGTAGTGTCACTTTTTGAATGTCATTCTAAATACTTTAATTTTGTAACCTGAACAGCTATTTCTAAGATGACAATATATAACTTATCAACCAGCAATTTCTTACCATTTGGTTTTCTGTAATTTTGTATTATTTCTACCCTTTTTTATCTCCATGTATTTTTTTGTTTCCTTTTCTTTAAATAAAAAAAAGTCCAAAAAAAAAAAAAAAAACAAACCAGAAATTGTTTCATATGCTATTCTTTGGTATTGATAATTTTTATCATTATGCCATTTTCTATCACTCATTCAACCCCAATCTAAATGTCTTCCAGTACTTTCAGAAGTCTCAGGGAATTTATCACTTAAACCTCACTGTCTTTGCCAGAGCATCTGGTCTCTAACCTGGACTGATCATTCTCTGTGTACCGTTTTACGAATCCTTACTGAGCCATCAATACCCTACACACTGTACCAAGGCCAGCAGGGGGAACACATAGTTATGATTCTTGCTTTCCAAGAACTTAACTACTTAGTGAGACACCCAAGAAGGAAACAAAGCAACAAAATTCTCAACAAACTATAGAGAAATGACTTCTCAACTCTGTTCTTTGCTGGGCTGTGGAGCTGATGCCTGCCTGTCGGGAGACAGCACTGGTGTATGTCTCTTAAGTGTCAGGCTGCTTCCCAGTTTTCTGCCAATCTCTAAATTAGGGACAGCCAGGAAATGCTCTGAAGTACTTTTGCTTGGCATCTCATGAAACAATGGGGCAGGTGTTTTTTCATCCTAGCCCCATTTGTCTGATAGTTGGATTTTGGACTTACATTGTGTTGTTTGCACTTACATAAGGAAGGATGGTGAGGAACCCTGTGATGAAACTGGATCAGGAACCCTAGGAAGATGAAAATCTGGCCATGCCCCCTTTGGAATTTGCTGAAACTGTGTACACCAAGGTCCATGCAGTAGTCCAGAAGTTAGGCTGACCTCTAGAAAGCTATTTCTCTTATGTCCATGGTAGACTACCGAAACAAAGCTACCAGCATTGGAGGAAAAAGTTCTAAAGCTAGGGAAAGAAATACATGTGTACATTATGTAGAGAGATTTTACCCTAATGTTTAAAAAGGAGATGGCTCGAGCTATGAATATCTGTGGACCAATAATGGCTCTCTGATAGGTAGAAGAGTGGGTAGGGCTGGGGCTGTTTAGACTAACAAAATCAAAGAAGTGAAGTGTGATGATGTTGCTTGTAGTTCTAGCACTGTAGGAGACAGAAGCTAGAGGACCCCAAGCCCTGGCCCAGCCTAGGAAACTTAGGGACACTATGTGTCTAAATAAAAAAACAGGGCTGTGGGTTTAGCTCAGCAGCATAAGTGCCTGCTTGGCAAACACAAAGGCTTGAGTTTGATTCCCAGTACCAAAAAAAAAAAAAAAAAGAAAAAGAAAAAAGGGCTAAGGATGGAACTCAGTGGGAAGTGTCTAGGTCAGTGATGCCAAATCTTTTAGAGACAAACACCCCCACTGCAACTCCCACATCCCCAATTATTGTGAAATGCCAATAGTGCAATTGGCACTGAAAATTGAGATTTTAGTTTAGAAAAAAACAACTCATACATTAACATCTTTTGTCTTAAAAGAAAAGCAACACATGTGCCATAGGTTGACCACCACCACCTACGTTTACTTCTCAGTATTGCTCTCCATGCACACACACTAAAAAATAATTAAAAACCGCATCTATGTACATTGTGACTGTAATTCCCTTAAACTGTAGCCAGATCAGGTTTGAAAAATACCTTGGTTTTCTCTGTGTGCATGAGCCTAACCCCCCTGAGTACTTAGTGAGAAGATGAGAAAAGGCTATAAATAAGATTTCAGAGCTGGTAAAAATAAAACTAACTAGGTTAAATTCACTCAGGTCCAAACAGGTAAGATGCAGACCATGTTAACAGTTCAGCTTGCCAAAATTCTAACAACTGACTGGAACAATCATTTAGGACACTCAAAATGTGTTCTGAATTATAGGTAAAACACTGCCTCCTCCACACATACCCTTGTCCTAAACTGCATGTGCTTGTGATCACTGGAGGTCTCTTCTTCGGGTAGGCAGAAACAGAAGCTATTCTTAGGGAGGAGAGAAGTGTTAAAGTTCCTAAGTTGCCCAAGCTGAGCTCCAACTTGGAGTCTAACTTACAGGAGGAAAAGGGGAGGAATTCTCAGGTCAAGGATGAACTACATCTAGGAAGAAGCAGTTCAAGACTGAATCCCATTCAACTCTGAACCAGAAGCAATGTTTGACCTTGGCTTGGGCTTCCAACACCTGTGTAAGAACAAAAACGGAAGTCCAGCCAGGCCTGGGCAGAGCATTTTCAGAGCAACATAATGCTGGTACAAGCAATGCATGTGGCAGGAGGTGGGGGAGACGGAGAGTAGAGTAACCTGATGGCCACAGGAATGGCAGCATGAGGTGGTGATTTTGTGGCTTCTGCTAGGTGCTTAGCTCAAATGGATGTGTGCAGAGTAGGGGAACCATTCTGAGGTCTGTGGTCAGAAAAAGATTCTGGAAGAGGAGTAAGGACTGTCTATGAGGCAGATACTATGTGTCTATGAGGCAGGCAGCACTCAGTCAAAGGTCTCTGCAAACAAGAGAGGCAGGGAAATGTGGGATCTTTTAGCAACCCCAAATCTCATTTTGATATGGGTGGTGGCTTGGAGGAATACAGCTTTAATGTGAAGGCAAGCCTGTGGATTTCCTATTTAAACAAGCCTAGAAGAGATGTTTCCACATTTCCCAGCACACCCATAGTACAGTAGCATTCTTGAGGTATGTTGTGGTTGGGGCCGGCTGGAAGGAGCTGGCTGCCAGCTGTCACCTGAGGATTCCTAGGCCCTGACCCTAAATGCTCTGGGAAGGTATCTGGATGACATAATCCTAAACTTAAAGGGGAGCATGTTCATCAATCCTAATCTGCCTCCATCCTCCCTGGATTTCTTTGTAGACTCAGGTTTTGAGATAATTATACTTTGTGTTTCTATAAGAACAAGTAACCTCCTATGGAACAGCTAAATAGTCAAAGACCTATAGCTCTAAGGGGGGTTAAAATAGCCCTCTTATTTTATAGATAGCCCATAGGAGTTAACTTGCTCAGCTCCACTTCTTCTTGGCTTCTTTTAGGGTTCAAGGGGATACTAGGTGGCATGATTTGAAATCTTTGTGGGTGCTTGACACTGCACCTGCTCTTTGATAAACTCCAGGAAGTTTCTGGAAAACTGACTGCCCTTGCTGCCAGGGTTCACTGAACTTATTTTATAATGAGCTTGCTCAGCACCTCCCTCCCACTCTGGGGCTGTAATTCCAGGGGGCTGGTTGCTCCTATACAGGCCCTGGGTTACGTGCTTTGTGTGCATTGTCTCATTTACCAACTCATCTTTTTCAGAAGTTTTTCTCTAGGTTGCACATATTGGTTTCCTGTGTGATGATGAGCAGTCTAAGTCTTCAACAAGATGAGTGAAGAAAGGGCTGATGGCCTTTCCACCTGCCGTCAAAGCTACTCCATGGGGTAATGGAAAGAGGCTGGGGGGCGGCTCTGTGCCTGTGTGTCCCAAGAGGCTCAGGGTACCTGGTAGTAGTCTAACTGGACACTTCCCACAGAGCCTGTGACACAACACATGTCACGCCAGCCATGCTGTGTGTTGGCTTTTATCTAGGTGCCCCCCTACTCCCCAAGTCTCATGTCATAGATGGGGCTTTTCAGAGGTGGCTGGATCTAGAGTATATGATCTGGGATAAGTGTGTAATCATACACCCTTGATACCCTAAATTAGTCTACAGGTTGGTCTGGCATAGTTCTGGCTATGGATACTGCGGAGGCCCTTTCTGGGTGTGAGCACTACCCACTCTAAGGGCATACAGAAAGGGAGCTGCTGTTGTCACTGCTGCTGTTTCTTTGCTGCCTTCTGCCTGCCACAAACTGTTTCTCCTCTGTGATGCCCCTCTGCCATGACACCAGGTTTGGAACCAGCCAATTATGAAATGAAATCTGTACAAACTGCGAGCTGTCATGAATCTTTCCTCCTTTAACTTTGGGTGTTGGGTATTTTGTTTCAGTAACAAGAAAAGTAACTAAGACACTGTGTTTCTAAACAGACAGACCACATTTCTAAGAGCCCATTTACTTCCATTGATGTGTTCAGAAATGTCAAGACAGACACTGCCCATCAAAAGTTATTTATTTTCTAAAAATATAAAAACACAAACAAAAAGGGAGTCACACTTGACTAGAACTAAAGAGATATTATCATTATAGCCCCGTGGGCAAGGTCTCTATGGAAAAATGATTGCTCCCATAGTGTCAGTCATTCTGACCAACATTCTGCTCCATACCCTACAAGTTACTATTGCTAAGATACACATGGACAAAGAATAAGCTTTATTAAATAAGATGCATAAAAATAAGGACTGTGTTCTTCCACATTCATAAAATATAATTCCAAGGAAATTCTGAGGAAAATAACCTTATGTCAGTCCCAGGGCACTTTTCTCCCCAGGAGTTGATTGGTCACTTTCTGTGGAAGAAAAGAAAGTCAAGAAAGAAGTCGGGTACTTCCACCATCAAAGGCAGACAGCCACGTCTCACCCTAGTTGTGTTGCTGAAGACACCCAAATCTTGTTCATGTTACTTAGCTACAGAAACTGGCAATTAGGACCCACCCCCCCAAAAAAAATTCCACAGACAGCCACGTCTCACCCTAGTTGTGTTGCTGAAGACACCCAAATCTTGTTCATGTTACTTAGCTACAGAAACTGGCAATTAGACCCCCCCCAAAAAAAATTCCTAAAGAGGTTAGCAAAGATGATCTGTAAGGAACACATTATTTCCACATAAATACAGGTGATCTATAATCCTGATAGACTTACTAGTCTACAGCCCAAGCACAGTGTAGTGATACACTAGACAAGCTGGCCAGTGCCTTCCCCAGAAAAAGCAGCCTGAGTTTTGGGGGTGCTTCAGAGACAGTTCTTTAACCCAATCTGATATGATCTGGTCTTTGGGTTTTTGACTTTCAGAGCCCTCTGATGTGTAGTGAGGCGATGGGAGAGAAACCAGAACAATGAAGGGTGTGGCCCTCCATGCCCAGTGGTTAATCTGGTCTCTCAGGGAAATACTGGTAGCAAGATCTTTACCCTCTAAGCTTTTTGGACTTGCAGCACCACTGATCCATGGAGCTAAAACCTCTGCCCTGCAGTGCCAACACCTCTTAGGCTACACTTAGACGTTATCTAGTTTACTTTAGCAGTTCTAAAGGTACGGTGGTACTTCAGTTCACAAACTTAATTCTTTCCATGATCCTGGTTGTGGAATTTGTTCCACTGTATCTGACTTATCCATGAGAAGCATAGAATCCTTTGGGGCTCTAATTATTCTGATGTTTTGAGTATTTCCATCATGATACCTAAGTTGTCTCCTATGTGTTGAATATGGCTTCATTTTAAATGCATGAGAAACTCACCCTGATTTTAAACTTGTTAACAAGTTCCCTAATTTTGAAATTTCAGCATTGGAACAGTGCATTTTGAGTTTCAGTTCACTCCACTTCTCAAACTTGGGTCACTCTGAATAAATGCTCAACAGATTAGACTTTTCCTCTCCAGTTCTCTCTCCCTTGATAAACCTGGCCCATCCTGCTCTAGCTACAGTACTAATTCCACTGACCTTTTTATACAGTTGAGCACGCAGCCGGTAGGACTTATATTCTGATCTTCTCTTCTCCTCTTCTCTCTTTTTCTGTACTTCTGGAAGCTGTTCATAAATCCTTAGAAATGGCACCAGTGGAAAGACAGAAGGCAATGAAGTCACAAGGCAAAGAGGTAAATGACCTCATCTTACTACACCTCTCTACTGACATTTAGTCTCTCAGACAGGCCCAGCCTATATAATGTGTTTGCTGTGAGACACCTGGACACTGGGAACCCAGGCCTGGAGTGCTCACAATCTGGAAGAGATATTATATAAAATCTTACCAACAGTAGATATTTCTGGGAAAAGAGTAGAACAAAGAAGGTAAGAGTAACTTCCTGTTTTTCTCTTGATATGGAAAAATGTATTCTTTCAATATAAGAATGAATAGGTATTACTACTATATTTTTAAACACAAGGAAATTACTGGGAAAGAAAAGTACTACAATAGTTATATTCTACAAAATGCTAGAGTTACAGGAGAAAAAAACTTATTCTGATAGAAAGAGGTCAGGGAAGAATTCAGAGAGGAGATTAGACCTGAGTTGGATTCGGAAGAACAGAAAGAAAAGAGGAGATAGAACAAAAGGTACCTATGTCAGGAAAAAGTGAGATTGATAAGAATAAAGCTAAGTCTGCATGGGTAACATATGGGAAGCAGGTGGGACGAGAATGAGTTGGGTTGTAGAGGGTCTTATAGTCATGTAAAAAATGAGTTCTGTTTTATCTGATATTAGGTGCCACTGATTTTAAGCTGGAAGGAATATAACTAAATGTGTGTGTGTGTGACAAACATCTGATTAGAAATAATTAAATTCCAACAAAAGAACAGTTAAGTGGGTTACAGAATATAGCGAATAGTAAAAATAATGTAAGTTTAAAACTTTGAGTTGCCATCCAGTAGATGGAAACCTACCCTCCACCTACAAGTATATTTATGATTGAAAGCATCAATATCTTACAGAAGATGCCCTGGCTATCTTCCTGTAAGCAAGTTCATGGTGTCTTACAGCAAAGACTCCTGTTGCTGAAGTGAACTGCCACAAAAGGATTGCTGCACAATTTCTCTCTAATTAAATTTTGTGACAGACTTAAAGCAATGATTCTCAAATTATATGGGCTCAGTATTCCTTTACATCTCTAAAAACTGAGGACTCTCAATGTGGATTTTATATATTGATATCATATTATAAGTTAAATAAAATTTAAATACTTAGTTCTTAAGGGTTTGGTATGTGGTTCACTGGTAAAGCACTTTCCCATTATGTAAAAAGCCCAGCATCACAAAACCAAACCAAAGGAAGACAAAACTTATTTCTTCATTCACTTAGAAATAATGACAACTGAAAAAATAACCATGAGCCTGTGAACAAGTTAACACAAGTAGTCTTTAAAAAAGAAAAATCAAAAATTTTAGTCAGAAGACTCACAGCTTTATATTCTTTGAAAACCTAATATCTGATTTAATAGACTAGCACTGGACTTATAACTGCTTCTGTTTTAAGTTTGTTGTCATAAATTACTCCAGTTGAAATATTTTTTTAAAATCTCATTTCACACGTGTAATTAAAAAAGAGAAAAATACTCTAACATTCTTTTCAGATACCTGCTAATCTCTTTAACACTAAATGAAAACTCAACAAGTGGTAGTTTCTTAATTAGCTGAAAGTACAATCTGAAATCAGATTAGTGTCCTTTTTATACTGTCACAGAAAATTCATCTATCATGCACTTTAAATGAACCATTTATTCAAGCCTGATTTTGTAACAAATCCTGATCCAGTAAGTTATGCAAATCTTTCCCAATGTTGACAAATTTACTTACATTACATGAAAAAAATCACATTTTTTAATGTCACTTCTGATCTTGACAGAAAAGTCTAAATACTAGAAAGTTGGCAAACTAATAACAGTGAAGTTCTCTAGAATTCCTTTCTTTGTTGAAAGGTCAAATTTTCTCTTTGGAAACAAATACTGTCAGCTATTTTCTCTGAAGTGACACTCAATTCTTCATTTTCAAGAAAATGTCTGTCATATATCTAGATCAGAATAATCAGTTTATCTGTCAGTTATTCTCATCAAGTAGAAGTTAAACTCTATGAAAAAGGCAGTAGGAAACAATACTTCAAAAGAGAAGCCTCAATTACATGAGACAAACTGTTTTAAGAATTAGTTCAGAACCATCCTGCCACTTGTAAAATTATTCTTATTAAAGCAAGCCCTCAGTAAACCCCAAATGTAACCCTTAAGTTATCCACAGCATAGTCAGGATCAACATATGCTATCTCTAATTAATTAATTAGTTAATAGCTAGTACTTCCAATAGCATGAGATTCAAAAAATTAATTAGGTACAAAATTAATCTTTGTACTCCAGTCACTCAGTTCTTTTTCCCAAAGGCAAACACTATTATAAGGGGATTTTTTTTTGTCCTCTAGAGATAGTCTCTCTATATAAAAAAAATGTATCTACATAACTATAATTACTTCTTTTGAAGATCACAAATTACAGCACTATAACCATGCTGTTGAAATGCGATTTTAAAAACTTCAATGGTTAAAGAACACTCCTATTATTCCTTACTCTACCAGACAAATTGCTACAAGTAAGATTGCTAAGATAGAGGGCATGGCTTCAAATAAATATTTAATGTTATTTGAAAGTATTCTTTATATGTACATTTCTAATAAAGACAAGCCTAATATATGCAAAACAGTAGGGATCTTTTAATCCTTTGCATATTACTAATTCATATCATATCTGCTATCTGTTTTTCTTCTCTGTTTTCATGCTGTGAGAAGCTACTTGTGCAACTTTCTCCTAATAGATCTATGTGAGTATTATGCCTTTACTCTGAAGGACAAGTCAGAGTTTCTGACCATCTGGTAGTCCAGTTTATACTTTCATAATTACTTTTGTTCCTTTGGCCTTACCGTTTAGACCTCTGAATCATCTCCTTCTTCCCAACAGGCTTCTTCTGGGCAGCAAGGAAGACTAAGCAAGAGAGAAAAGTGGTTTTCAGAGGACAGTGATCTAATAAGAAAATAAGTGGCACTCTAGAGCTATAGGAGGAGCAGCTGAACTTTGTGCCTCTAACCTGAGCTGATGGTACAGGTTGATAAGCAATAACCAATTACCAAGACCAAACCCAAGGCCAGGAATAAACTACACCACTGGTAGCAAACCTATGGCATGCATGCCATGGCAGGCTGTTTATACCATTGAAAACTCTAAAAGGTTTGCTATCAGTGGACTACAGTGACCATGATAGCCACCTATGGCCTCTGAAGACATTTTGTGGCACAGACCAAAGAGTTGTATCAAAAAATTGGTATATTAGTAAGGTTGTGACGACAGCATTAGGTAATACTTTATGGTATCTTTCACAAATTATTTTATTGAAATCTTAGGTTCAGTGGAATTAAGTATACAGACCGTGGAGCCAGTCCACCTGGGTTTAAATATTAGCTCTTTTATTTGCAAAGTTACAACCTAGGGCAAAATACTTAATCTCTCTCTGCCTCAATTTTGTCACTGTGAAGTAAGATTACCAATAGTATCTACTTTAGAGAGGTGTTGTGAGAGCAGTGTATAGATAAGATGTATTATGTGTTTATTACTGTAGTTATTATTAAAACCACTCTATGAGGTAAGAAAGCCAGAACTGGCACCATCTTTACAGGAAACGAGATTATAACTTTGTAACCAACTTGGGCATACACATTGAGCAAGAGCTGGTTTTAAAAAAATCCTATTATTACTGAACATTTCCTTTTTAAGATGCAGCCACCAGATGAGAATAGAAAATTACTGGTATCATGACAGTGCTGTAAAGTTCGGCCATTTCTGTTATCTTAAGAGAACTATGCCTCAGTAAACACAAGGTTACACTCAGTTTTCATAGCATTTAGCAGTACTCATCAACAGACAAGCTATCTTGCCTCTCTCTAGACATTAAGAGAAAAGTTACAAGACAGCATACCTCTCCTAGGCAGGGGACGCGTGGAGTTGAACAGTGCATCCCGTTCACTTTGTAACCTGTTCTGCAGCTTCCTCTCCTGGACTATTAACTTCAGACGCTTTATACGTTCCCCAGAGCGAGAGATAAAGTCAGGTCTGTGAAACTGAAGTGATTCCTAAGGAGGAAAAAGCCCAACCTAATATTAATGATGAAAGCTGCTATCTGAGTGCCCCTAAAAATAGCATCTACTAATAGGTGTGGAAAGACGATTTCTAACACACAGAAAACATACATAGTTAAGGACTACTGTGATACTCTTCTTCAGGGAGGAGCTCCAGCAGGAAAATCAAAGGGATCAAAGGAATGCCTTTGAATAATCCAAAAAATAAGCCATGGCAGTTACAACTCTCCAGAATGTTGATAGGTCAGAGCTCAGCCATTGTGGCATTTCAAATTTCTCTTCAGACAAATATCTTATTAAATAACATTTCCCTTAGCCTCTGAGGCTAGAGATGAGAGTTAGAGATGGTTGGTGAGGGATGGGGATGTACTCAGTAGTAGAGTGTTTGCCCAGCATGCATAAGGCCTTAGGTTTAATCCCTAGCACTAAAAAAAAAAAAAAAAAAAAAAAAAAAAAAAAAGAAGAAGAAAAAGAATGCCTTAAACCAGATGTGGTGGCGTACTCCTGTAATCCCAGCACACAGAAGGCTGAGGCAGGAGGATCCTTGCAAGTTTGAGACCAGCCTGGGGTACAAAGTGAGCCCAAGGCCAGCCTGAACTGCATAATGAGACCGTGATTCAAAAAGACAAAAAGATAAAAAAGAAGAATGCCTTTTGAATCCTGTGATAAGAAGCAACAGGCATTATCTAATGGAGGACATAAAATGTTCATACAAACCCCACATCTTTGGAAATTCCATACTGGATATCTATAAACCTGCCAAACAGTGCCATAATAACTTTCCTTGTTACTCTGTCCCCAGATACTCAAAGTGGCACATTATTCACAAAGTTAAGATAGCTTTTCCTTATATATGAAACAGTTAAGGCAGCTTTTCCTTATATATGAAACAGATGAACTGCAGAGCTGCTCAAAAGGAAGGTCACACAACCCAACCTTGGCATGCCAAGTCCCAGTCAGAACTTCTCCCAGTCTTCCCCTTTTCCATGTAAATACATGGCTAAAGTTAACTTGATACCACTATACCTGTAGAGTTGCTTTCACAAATGGCCTTGGAGAGCCTCGGCCATCATCTCTGACTTGGTCAGCGACTGATCCCTGACAATTCATGTGCTGTCCCTGCCAGTTCTTTTCCCGTAGTGGCTCCCTCCAGGGTTTGGTTTTGGTTACTGGTTCAAACCAAGAGATGCCAGGGCTATAAACCTTGGGCATGTTTTCCTTCTTAGATCCAGATTTCACATTTTCCACGGGAACAAACCATGAAACTCCTATAGAAAATATTTTTGAGAAGAAAAGATTTATCACTTTCTTAACTGCATCCAAGTCTCATCAAAGACAGGAAGCTTATCTCTGAGGGCCCCGAAGGTGTCTGCCTTCATTGCAGGTATGATTCTGTAAATGTAGTTCTAGATACTTAGCCATTTAGAAAGAATTCTAGCATTGCAAAAGACTTAATTCACTATTTTCTGCTATAAAACCTGGAATTAGAGACTGACCTTCATAGGAAATTGGCCTGTTCTTCCGTAACTTTTTGTCCCCAAGATAATCCGTAAAGAGCTTTTTCTCTTCAATTTTTTCTTCTGACCAAGAAGTTACATCACTGTCCTCTTCTAATCTAGCCTCACTGGAAGTAGGAGTTGGGAAAGTCACTCCAACATCACGAGTGTGTTTTTTAGCACCAGTCACAATCTCCAAATTACCTGAGGGGAAAGGTTACAAATGACTCTGGGAGCATCCTTGAGGCTTAGCTGAAAAGATCACTCAAGCAAGGAAGTAAAACCTTTTTAATTCTTCAAAGACATGCTGCCTTTTTTGGTGGGGGAAGGAGACATGATGCAGGGGAGAGCAAAAGGAAAAAGGGGAAGGAAGGTAGAGTTGCAGAGAAAGGAAAGTAGAGGGAGAATGAAAAAAGGATTTTATTTCTAATTTTAATTAAGAGAGAGAAAGAAGAACAGATATTCAGTAGGTAAAAGATTTTAGTTCTGATACCAAGAAAGTATCAGTAAACCCTTCTGGTAGCCACCTGGGTAAGGGAGAGGTTGACAGAAGTGAATAAGGGAGTTTATTTTTGTTTTATAATCAAAAGGGTATAGAAAAGTATGAACTGAAATCCTCTCCCCTCCTGTTCTCCATTCTCTCTCTTCACAATCTCATCATTCTGGAAAATTATTTTTGTACTCGCAAGCAATTCTCTTCCCTCCTTTATTTAAAAAAATGCATATAGTAGCACAGTATCCACTGTTCTGTATTTTGATTTTTTAGATTGTCTATCTTGAAAATCTTTTCAATATTAGTACAGAGAAAGCTCTCTCAGTCTAAGTACTATTTCTTTATGTGGAAGTACAATTTCTTTATTTAACTACTTAATTGCTGATGTATATCTAAAGTGATTTTAATGTTTTGCTATAACAATAAGTAACTTAACAGTTAACTTTCACTTGCTGTTAGCACGTTTCCAAGTGTATCTATAGAATAAATTTCAAAAGAAAAAATGCCAGGTCAAAGTAGTTTTGATAGCAACAACCAAATTGTCTTTCACAAGGGTTGTACCGACTTAAACTCCCACTAGAATGTTTGAGGGTACTTATTTCTATATACTCTTACTTTTAAACTTGGATTATTGTCAACTTACAGGTGAAAAGTGGCATTTACATTTATAAATAGTCTTAATCTTCACCTTTTTAATTATGAGTGAAGCTGAGTAACATGTTAAAGAATCACATTTTTTTTCTCTTTTGATACCAGAGATTGAACTTACGACCTTGCACTCCCCAGGTAGGCCTGCATGCCACTGAGCTAAATCCCTGGCCCAGAATCTGCATTTTTATCTCATTGGAAAAGTTTAACTTCTCTTCACTTACCTGCCTGTATGCCCTTGTTTAACATGTGCTTATGGTTTTCACTGCAAAGAGTAGAGTTCAAACTCAAGAAGCTACTGGCAGATGAAACTGAGTCAGAAGAAATATAGTGTGACATCTGGAGAAACAAGAGATTCTATTTTAGTTACCTAGTCAATGGCTACATTACACATAGCATAAAAAAGACTCTAAGTCCTCAAGAATTCTTTTTAATCAAATTAAAATTGTTGAGACGCGGTTGGAAAAATGTTGTGAGCAATGTTAATGTGCTGTCATACGTCTGTGAAAGGAAAGAGACTGCTGCTGTAGTTGGACAGGGCCCAAGCTGCCAAGACTTATATAAGACAGAAAGAGGCTAAGCTAGGTATTTTCCCAGGGCTTAACCAAACTCTGAAGATGCTAACCAAACCTTAACCTGATACATTTACACAATGAAATTCTCGACCGACACCTGCACATATTTTTGATGCAAGATACAGGCCTGGAGACGGTTAAAGAAAGTGATGAGCTGCAAAGAGTGCTTTGCATATTCAGGCATTTATCTAAACATCAAAGAGCTACTAGGTCCTAAGAGAAGTCCTGACTGAGTGGAATACTGTTTTAAAAAAATCATGAAAGAGCCCAAAGGCCTTTATCAGTCATATGCAGGGAAAGCAGAACAATGAAGGATAAGTTAAGAGACTGAAAATAATGGTCGAACGTTTGTGGGTAATGAAAAAGATCATTAAAACACAGCTGAACAAATATAGCACAAAGCACTATTTCTTAAGCTTGCTCACTATAAACATATTGTGGGAGGAGTAACCCAGAACAATGAATTGCAATCTCTGGGTGGTCTGGGTATCTATATTTTGAGTAAGTGCCAAGTGATTTTTTTTTTTTACTTAAGCAAATGTGGTAAATTGAAGCCCAAGTAACAAAACACAGTGTCTGTTTTTTTGAACAAATATTCCAAGCACCACCCAGTAAACTTGCCACAGAATCATGTTAGGCACTTCGAACCTAGAACTATTCTGATTTTTAGAAAGATTAGTGTTGCAAACTGCTAGATTGATACTAGTTACTTGCAAAATTTAGAATTGCCACCACTCTGATAACTTGAAAGTTTTTCAAAATCAAAGAAAAGATTACTAAATTTCAGCCAGAAATCTGGAAGGCATGCAGAATAACCCACCAGCTTAGCCTAGTTTCCTTAGTAGATACGGTCACTTGACTGGCACACCAATAAAATGTTTAGCCCAAATAGCTAGATTTGAACAAAATGAGAAAAGATTTTATGGTAGGCTTGCAAGATGGACTTAAATGAGTTGAGTTATAATATAAATTGGTAAAATGATAACTGGCTAAATTGGCCTTGTCCAAATACCACTGTCAACATAAAGGTCTTTACTAAGTGGTACATCTTACACTTGACAACACACACTAAGTAACTACTGCATTCTTAATATTTTACATAACAGTATTTGGAGGAGAGGGAACTGGGAGAATTTCTATACAGTGTACATAGCTGGTGCGGTTGAATGGATGTGAAGATCTAAAAAATGAGAAAGCAGAAAGATGTTTAGTTGTGATAATCATAAAGGTCTGTACATTATGGGGCAGGAATGGTAACAACTTTGATGCAGGAGAAAAAGCTCTTAAGTCTGGAGTTCAAGGATCTGAGCTAGTCTCAGATCTTTTTACCAGTTCTCTCTCAAGCTACAGCTTTAAGACAGCTTTTCCCAGTAGAAAAGGGAAAATCTCCACCTTTAAAATTACATTAGAATAAATGATTTAGATGGTAAAATATAAAAAGTGGAGACTACTATGTTTAAAAAATCACATATAGAAAGGACAATGAAGATAGGACTGATGGGGAGCACGCGATACTTGTACCTTCTCTGCAGCTGTAAAAAAGAAACACAATGTTAGGTAATAAAATGGACTGACTCTCAAGATATATACTAGAGAGGATTAAAGTGTGCTTCACTTTTTATGAAAAAGGGTAGACAACTTATATAGGTGTTTTCTTTTTTAATGTGTATTATTCAACTCTGTGACCCTTTAATTTTTATTGGTGTGTTTATAATCTTTGTGGGTAGAAATCCCCTTGTTTCAGCATCATTCAGATGTCTGTCCTTTGTCACTGAGTCCTTTGCTGAAAATTATTTTACCTTAAGTTTGGTGGGTAATGAAAAGATCATTAAAACATAGCTGAACAAATATAGCACAAAGCACTATTTCCTAAGCTTGTTCACTATAAACATATCATGCGGTGTGGGGGGGGGCGGGGGTAACCCAGAACAATGAACTGCAATCTCTAGGGGGTCTGGGTATCTATATTTTGAGTGCCAAGTGATTTTTTTTTTTAACTTAAGCAAAGGTGGTAGAGGTAAATTTAAGCCCAAGTAGATTGGAAAGGAAGAAACTATTTGCCAGTATCATCTTGTATGTAAAAATATTAAGTAACCCACAATGAAGTAGCAGAATAAATAATTTGGTCAAGTTATAGAATATAAGATCAGTAAGACTTAAAAACAAGTCACTGATGTTTCTATATTCTAGCAATGAAAAATCTGAAAATAAAGTTCCATTCCCAATAGCAAAAAGAATGAAACATTTAGGAATAAAGTTAAGGACTGATATGCCAAGTTTGTACACTAAGAACTACAAATATTGCTGGGAGAAAATACCTAAATAAATGATAAGACATTCCACATACATGAGTTTTAGAAGTCAAAGTTGTTAGGATGGCAATTTCTCCCAAATTAACCTATAGATTGGGCACAATATCAAAATCACAGCAAGCTTTTCTTTGAAGAAAATTATAAGCTGATCTCAAAGTTATATGGAAATGTAAAGAGTAAAAAGAATAAAGATGAAGGACTTAATGTATCCTGATTTCAAAACTTACTATAAAGCATCAGCAATCACAACACTGTGATATTGCTGTAAAAACAGACATAGATATATCAATCAATGGAACAGAACTGAGAGTTTGGAAACAAACTTAATTTATAGTAAAATGATTTTCAACAAAGGTAACTGAATGACAAAGGACAGACATCGGAATGATGCTCAAACAATGGAATCTCTACCCACAAAGATTATAGACGTCACACTAATAAAAATTAAAGGGTCACAGAGTTGAATAATACAAACTAAAACTAAAGAACTTTTAAAATGTAGGAGAAAATCTTTGTGGCTTTGTTTAGGCAAAAAACAACTCAGATATTTTTGTTGCATGCCAAACAGAACATTGCTCAGTGATAAAAATGAACTGATACATATTACAAGATGGATGAACCTTCAAAATATACTTAAAATAAGCTAAATGTAAAAGACAATATTCTATGACTCTTTTCATATGAAAAGTCCAAAAGAGGCAGGTTTGTGGTTGCCTGAGCCTGGGAATGAGGAATGACTGAAAATAGGTACAGGGACTTTTCTGGTGTGACAGACAATGCTCTGAAACTGAATAGTGGTGATAAATACATAACTCTTATTATGTAAGAAACTAGTAACATTGCCTCTGGAAAGGACAGCTGATGCCTGGAGAAGAGAAGTAAGGAAGACACCCCACCCAAAAAAAAAAAAAAAAACACGTATCATGTGACTGTATTACCAGTTCTGGAAATGAGAACAAACAAAACAAAAATTTATATAGAAAAAGTTTAACAATAGAGTTTTGAGTTCCATAATGAAGTCAGTAGGGACTAAGCATCTGTTAGGCCAGAGAAATGCTCCAGCTTCAAGGTGGCTCAGTCAACCCTCTCTTGCCACCTGAAGAACATAGTATGCTTAGTTTGAAGGGCCATGTTTAAAAATGAGATGTCAACAAATTTAGACCAAAGACAGCTGTCAAATTTGGAAAGGGAAACAGAAACAAGCTGTGAGAAATGGTTCAAAGGGACTACCCAAAATAAAATACCTCAGGGAAGGAAGAGGGGCCCAAGAGGGAGAAGACTAGGTCTATTTCCTGTGCCTTCACAATTCTGGGAACAGAGCTAGGGAATCCAATGTAAGTAGATTCTCGATCTTTATGTGTAAACATCTTTGATGACCGCAGCATGGGCTGCCCTCTGAACAGAGAAGCAGTAGAGCTGGTGAAGCAGAGGCAGATGGGCTCTCTGGAACAGATGCAGCAGAAGTGTCGAGATGACAGGAGTGGGTAGGATTACATGCCTCCTGTGGTCCCTTATTAGCCTGAGATTCTATGAATCTGGACATTCAAAATACATAACCAGTCATGATACGTACCATAGGGCAAGAAAAAACATATCATCTCTAGCATATTAGATGAGAAGTTTTAGAGTGTGTTCCTTATTTAGTTCAAATCTGTCTAAGTCCAACCTATAAACACTTTAAAGTCTAAAAAAATTTCAACAAAATATATTGTCTTCTACGTTAATGAAAATCAAAGACAAACTAAAACTAGTGTTTATTAGGATGCAAATTGGAACCCTTAAACTTTGCTGGTAAAATGATACAGACACTGATACAACAGGCAGGTCTGCAAATGGTTAAATATAGACTTACTACATAATCAAATAATGTACCTTCAGGAATAAATAACAGGGGAAGTGAAAATATATGGCTGCACAAAATCTCATACATGAATGTTTACCATAGCTTTACTTATGACAGCCAAAAAGCACAAACAATCCAAATATCCACAAACTCATGGATAAATATGGTCTATTCTTATAATGGAATATTTGGCCATAAAAAATAATACATACTACAAGGTAGCTGAAAACATATTGAATGAAAAAAGCCAGTCACAAGACTACATATTATATGATTCCATTTACATGAAATAACCAGAATAGGCAAATCCATACAGATGAAAATTAGTGGTTTTCAGTGGGCTGTGGCAAGGGTGAGACTTTGGAGAAATGAAGACTAATTGTTGTTATGTCCAGAGTATCTTTGGAGGGTTTTTAAAATGTTCTAAAATTAGATTAGAAAGAGTGCTACAGAATTCTGGGAGTGAACTAAAAACCACTAAACTGTACACTACTATTATAGCAATATTACACTCATTTTTAGTCTGTAAACTAGTAGAAAGGTGTAGAAGTATATTTACTCATGTATGCAAACTGAAATATGCATTATCAAGTTTGAACACTACTACTA